GAGCCGAATTATCCACAGAGGTCTGTTCCTCTCCAAATAAACACACCAGGGGTCTGATTTATAAAACAATGCATAGGATCCATACTAAAAATGTATGTATGAACAAAAGCCAAAAATGGTGTGTGGCAAAAAATATTTGACAATCTCTACAGTCAGCCTTCCACCTCATCTGCCAATTTCCCGTCATCAAAATGTTTGTAGGCATGGGTCAAAGTTTCTTCCATCAAGTCTGTTTATATAGATGCATGGGAAGTGGCGTACGCCTCTTTCAGGCCTCATTTTGTGCGTACGCAATGTTTATAGACCCCAGGTGATTTAAACTGGTGAAAGCACTAAGAAAACAGCTTCATGATAAAAAGATTTGTTTTCCAGGCACTGCTTGTCAAAGAGCGACTTGGGGACGGTGACTGACATAAAAATGCAAATGGCCCTATCTAGAGGCAGTGTTTGGTTTGTCTGTTCTGGGCTACCGTAGAAACATGGCAGTGCAATATGGCCGACTCCATTGATGAGGACCAGCTTCCTATGTAGATCTAAACTGTTCATTCTTAAGTAACAAAAAACAATTCATATTTTCAGGTGATTATACATTAAGGAAAACACTTATTATTAGTGTGGCAGTGGCAGTTGGTGAGGTGGGTGTAATACCAGGTAGATGGGCTTTGGGCTGATAGGTGGGTATACTGTAGACAGCCAGAAAAAGAGGTGGGTATATCTGTGCATACTCTCCACTACACCACATTTCTGTCAATATGTGTGCCTAAATCCTACACACTGGACATTAATCACCGCTATTAGGTCCAGAAACTCGAGCATATCTCTACCTACCTACAACCACAGCAGAGAATCAGACAAAGTGATTCAAAACACCTGTGGACCTTTGACACAGTTCAGAACTAGGATTTATACATCTCATGAAACTGGATGTCTATCTTAAGAGACCCAACATACAGCTAGTTTTAGCTGGTTAATAACCACGAATTAAACTCAGCAGGCATCTACACCTGTGCCTCTAGTTTCAGAAAGTAACATCTGGTTTAACCTCAAATGTCATGAGCTACCTGTATCTCTGCAGCAATAGCTCAGCCTGTTGTTGTTGAAGCACTGATGCCTCACTGGATTTACTAAACCACAGAGTTAGAGCTGTTTTTGACCAGAGTCCTGCACATTTATCGTCCTCTGGTGGTTAACGAGACACACCTGGTCTGTACCCGACAGCTGGTGTGTCTCGTTAACTGCCTGAGAAAAACACATTCCTACACCTGGACTGGACAGTCTCAGATTATATCAGTGACTAAATGTGTCAGTGACCAGTACAATGTTCTAAATATACCGCCCCGGGTTTTCTGTTTACGACTCACTGCTCAAGCTGAGTGTTAATTTTTTATTTGTGTGTAACTGTCTCAGTGGGAGCCTGTCGCACTGCAGATACGTGGAAATAAGAGTCTTATCAGAAGATGTGATTGATCCTGGAGCAGCCCAGATTAGGGATTTCTGTAATCTCAGCACAATGGTTTTTAGATTACGCTGATTCATTTACTCAATGCCTCTAAGAGGCCGTTTACACGTACACGGTGATTTTGATAAACGGAGACATCTTCCTTCGTTTGTGCCCTTCGTTTACACGCAAACGGAGATTTCTCTTCTGAAAATGAGTCTTTCTAAAAACTCCGGCCAGAGTGGAGATTTTGGAAAACTCCGGTTGCGCGTTTGCATGTAAACTGAGATAAACAGAGATAAACGGAGTTATAGGCAGCTGACGTCACAGTATGCGCCAGAACTTGCGCCTGTGTCAAAAGTGCGACCTATGTTGCTATGGTGACAATGGATACATGGAAGGCTTGAGCTTCTCATTACACTGCCACCTACAGGTTTGGCATGCTCTTGCGTATATATACACGGGTAAGTGTAAACGAAGAATTTTTTGAAAACGGAGACGGTGAAATGTCCGTTTATGAAAATAGCCGGCAACGTGTAAACGGCCTCTAACATATCTGTGTGTGTGTGTGTGTGTGTGTGTGTAGGGTTTTCCTGTGTTGTTATTTATTTCTCCTGTGGGAAGAGTAGGCAGGTTGGAGTTGGAGCAGCAACAAGCTTTCTACAAAGTTATTTTTTCCCTGTCTCTTATTTTATATTAAATTGAATGCCAACAAAGCACTTTGAGATGCTCGAGTCAATGCCTTTACTGGAAGAGAAGCGCACCTTCCCAAAAAATCAATTAGGTGCATTAGCATTTTAGCTCCGCTCTGATGTAGATGTGAGGTTATTACTCCTGTTGAGCCACTTTTCCTGCTCTCACTCACACACACATACACACACACACACACACACACACACACACACACACACACACCCACACACACACACACACACACACACACACACAAGCACCTTAGAGTAGTGGTTCCCAACTGGTCCAGCCACAGGGTCCAGATTTCTCCTTAGTCATTAGTTTAAGGTCCATACAGTTTAATATGTTCAGTGTCGTACTCGTGTTTAGCCGTGTTATCGAGCTGGTTTGCTGTCTCTGTCAATTAACTGTCTGTTAGTCGCTCACTCTACAGCAGGAAACGGCACTTCAAAATGCAGCTCTGTGCCGGAAATTCACCGAACTAGACATGTTTGCAAGTCACTTGTGGTCAATTCAGAATGGACCTTTGACACACTTTTGGGCCGCGTCCCACCAGTTGGGAACCACTGCCTTAGAGAATCTGTGCTAAAAAAAATATTTGCATTAATGACATAAAGTACATATTATCTCCTCCATAAAAGCAGAAATGCAACGTTAATTTTCTTAGGTTTTTTACTGAGATTTCTATCAGCAGGTGAGATGAGGTCTGCAACTAACGATTGTTTTCATTGTTAATTAATCTATTAATTATTTTCTCAATCACTTGATTAGTTGTTTGGTCTATAAAATGACCAAATTGTGAAAAAAGTCGATCAGTGTTTCCCAAAGCCCAAGATGACGTCCTCAAATGTCTTGTTTTGTCCACAACCCAAAGACGTTTAGTTGACTGTCAGAGAAGAGTAAAAAAACAGGAAATATTCACATTTAAACCTTTGAACCCTGAGCAAATGGGTGTGGTTTCTTTCAAAAGCATGGGAAAAGAGGCAATGAGGAAATTTCCCATGAACTGCAATTTTTTTTTATTACATTCTAAAATTATGTTGAAGAAGAATTATAATTTTAAGCACTCTTTCCAGGTCCTTTGTTTATCTTCATTTTATTTTATTTCATTCTCATTTTCTTGTTTTAAATGTTTTCTTTTTTACTAATTTCTTTTTTGAGTCCTTTCTTCTTTTGTTCATTGCCTTTTTCCTATGTTTTAAGAATACATAAAGCCAATTTGCTCAGGTTTCAAAGGGTAAAGAAGCTGGAATCACAAGAATTTTAACTTATTTCTTAAGAAATTACTCAAGCCATTTAATCGATTATCAGATTAGCTGGTGATCAATTTGATACACTACACAAAAACTGAAATGCAACACTTGTTTTTGCGCTCATTTGCTCTCAGGTAAAGATCTAAGACTTTTTTAATGCAGACAACAGAAATAGTTCTCTCAAATTTTGGTCACAAAAATGTGTTGGTGACCACATAGTCCATCCGACAGGTGTGGCATATCAAGATGCTGACTGAATAGCATCATTACTACACTTGGGATGACCACAATAAAAAGCCTCTCTGAAGTGTGCAGTCTGATCACACGACAATGCAACAGATGAGCTACTTCCTGACAGTTTATGAATATGAATAATAACAAATTTGCGACCAAAATTTGGGTTTTTTATAGATTAAATTTTCTTAGATCAGGGATGGGCAACCTTTACTATTAAAAGCACCATTATTGGATCTTTCTGGAGCCTGAAAACATATTTAAATAAAGGTAACAGCCTATTAAGTCTAAATTAGCCCATCAACATTACCAGTATGTCTACATGAACATTCATGATGTGGGTATGGGAGGGCAGCCTGGCGACTTTGGGGACAATGGTCAACTTGTTCTTGTTATTCATTTCTATCTTTTTTTTATCATATTATTTTATGTCGATGTACTTGCAATTATTTTACTACCTTATTTGATTCTACCACTGTGCCTACTACAACATTTGATCCCTTTCTCAGGATATTGTGCACAATTGTTAAATTGAAAGAAAAATAGCCTGAAATATAGATGTTGATTAAATGTGGAATCCATCTGCTCAATAAAAGATATTAAATACATAAATGAGCATTCATTAATATGATTTACTACAAGGTGGCTACTCTGCAGTGGGATATTTAGAATTATTAAGTACTTAAACTTTGCAGCATTGGTGGTGACAACAAATGAATCTGTCCACACATTATTAAATCCTCTATTATACTCTGAGACATTTCCTTTTTTGGATTTGAAATCCATAGCGAGTCTTGCTGGAGAGACTCAAGGCCACTGCTACTGACATTCCGCAAAATTTAAGAGGAAAAGGCACCAGGTCATAGACGTATGATGCACATTTTAGTTGATGAAATGTTATAATATGTTTTAATTCCATGTATAGGCTTCAGGTTTTTACAGTTGTAAAATGCAATAATCACTTTAGGCCTACAACAATGACACATTAAAGTCTGAATGTTAAAAAACAATGGTTAGTCATCTGCATATAATTTTATGTGGAAGCCACAGGGAGCCACCGGAGAGGGTCTAAAGAGCTGCAGGTTGTTAAACCCTGTCTTAGAACTTTGACTTAAACCTTTGAAAAATGGAAGCACAAATAAGATGTTGCTCAGTGTAGTTGACAATCAGGTTAATCAATAAGTCGTTGCAACGTCATCAGTCAGTGATTGATATGTAATATTCAACTTTTCCAAGAATAAAAACAGAAAGCATCAGATGAAAGGGCAGAGGCATAACTGTGTCATCTAAAAATAACTTGCTTCATCACCTCAGCCTCTTTACTAATTAAATTCACAATGACCGCTCCGTCTGATGTCACAAAAACCACAGTCACATCTGGGTCTGTATTAACGAGTTGAAATATTTATTTTTAAAAACTGAAAAAATAAAAACAAACCCACCAACATAGTTTTAGTATATCATACAAAGACACATTTCAATGTTGCTATGTGAGTATTTGTTTCTCTTTTACTACAGTGTGAGGCAGTTTGAAAGGCTGGCTGAGCTGGTACGACTACAGACACAGACCCGAGAGAGAGGAGACGGACAGAGAGAGGAGAGACAGACAAAGAGAGAGAGAGAGAGAGGTTAATAAAGAATATTTGGGCAAAAATACAACCAAACATCACTCAAGGTGCGTTCAATTAGTCTTTCCAGACACTTGAAATACTGTAAAAAGTAGATCTATCCTTCTGTAAGTGGCAACGTTTTTGTTTTATAATCCAATTTCTAATGACATCGGCTCCCCAGGTGTAGAAGAGGTGACAGAACACAGCTAAAATCATTATTAAATACAAAGACCTGGACAGAAGAGTACTGCAAATAATACCTGCTGTTTGTTTTATCCTGCTTGGAGCAGCAGATGAGTGAGGAAATTATTTCAAAGTCTGTCTAATAAAACATTTTTCTGTTTCTTCGTTGCACCCATCTGCTTCTGCAAGTGTCACAACTGCATTAGAAGAATTATTGGCACATACTATTTGACCAGCGTCTGTTAAATAAACCAGTGTCACAACTTTTTCTATTATTCAGATACACAGCTGAAGCGGAGCGTCCAAACGAAGTATGTTAAGACACAGAAAGAGGCAAACGTGCCATCCATCCAACAGAAAGAAGAAATAAGGTGTTTGATGTCTACTCGTCTCATGGTTTACACAAAGGCAAGATCAGGCTGCTCACAGAGTCCACTGGCAACAAGCGGAAAAGTCAGTCCATCAATCGCAGTAAGAAATTCAGTTAAACAACCACCTCTCTCTCCTGTGGCATTCATGTGCACCATTTTGTATCCCTAATTCAATTAAACTGAATCCTTACTTGAACAGATGCAACAAAAGTAATGCTATTGAATGCTTTTAGACTTAAAGAAAGCAAAAGATTATTTCCAACAATAGAAGGCTTGTAGTTTATATACACAGCTACTTGGTCTTTAGGAAGCAATTGAAAACACAGCAGTCACCGAGTGGCTGCGTACTTCCGAGTCCTTTGTGGTCCTGGCAATGCAGACTGTTAGTCAGCGAAGGGTTTATAAAACAGTCAGTCCTGCAGGGTGTCTGAAGAGGTGAGATCAGGTGATAAACCAGGTAAAATATGTCACTGATAAAGGTTTGTGCAGCCTTAACAGTCCCAAAACTCATATTCAAGTTTGAGCAAAAAGACGTCAAACTTTTTTTTGTTTTAGGGTTTCCTTTTGTTGCTCCTTCTCTGAGTGAGCGGGTGTCACTGGGAACACTGGCAGAGTCAGAACGTCCCCAGGAAGACGACGCTGTCAGCATGTGGATCACAGCTCCGCCTCCAAAGCTTGTGCGACAGATCAGTTGTAGTGCTGCTTGATCGCTGTGTAAAAAATACGCACCGATACGGGTTTTAAACTTTATTTAACGGCTTTACGTTTTTCTGTTGTTGCTGAGGAAGAAAAGTAGCACACTCAAAAGTGTTGTTGCTTTATTCTATATAAAAAGAGGTCTTCCTCCCACTTACCCGCTTTCCTGCTTTTAACCAATAAAAAAGGGGGAAATGACAAAAAGGGCCCCGATTTCAGTGTTTGAACAGCGGGTTCTCTCTCATCAGTCCTACCCATGATGCACCGCTACCTCTGACGATGTAGCATGAGGTAGTTGGCAGTCTCAAAGCTCACAGGGAGAAGACTGTTGAGAGGAAATAAAAAACAACGGTGCTACTTTCCTTTCCTTTCCTGAAATGACTCCCCAGTTTGGAGCGGTTTGAAGAGTTTCCATGTGAGCATCTGTTAAAATAATTGTGAAAAAAAAGGGGGGGCCAGGTCGAGTTAACAGTCACGGTCGTTACAATGGTGGAGAGGTGAAAGGCAGAAAGTCCAGTGAACCAGCCGGTGAAGCCGTATGGACTTAATAAGGTGATAACTCACAGTGAGAAAAGAACAGGAAGAAACTAGGGGAGGAGTGTAAAGACGGACAAAGAGCAGCTCAGGCTCCGACAGTGTTATAAGCCCATGACACTTGTTTAAGTAGGAGAGCATGCACGCCATGTACATTACACAGAGACATGAATTTGGGGGCTGGGGCACGGCGACAACAGTCAATGATTCCCCCTCTTTGCTGCTCAGAGGTTGGCCCTTGTGCGGTGCTTCCTGGGATGTCTCGAGTAGAACTTGTGCTCGTAGCGTCTCCGCTGTGACACCGTTATTAAAAAGCGGGGAAGAAAAGGACAATAAATACACGATGAAACGGATCCACTTCACTTCGACTGCTTTTCATCAACACAGTCCTTTGGGGGAGAGGCTGGTGGGGGGTGGTGACGTCTGGCTGCGTGCCCCACCCTCCGCTCCTTACATCCATTTGTTCCTCCCTTTGATGCCCCCCTCGTCGCTGAGCCCTTGGTGCTGTCCCTGTATGGAAACTTTTGGACACGGGTGGAGGGGCGGGTTTAGAAAAGAAGCACCTTTTAATTTGGCTTAGATAAAAAACAAACAAAACGAGAGAGAGAGAGAAGAAAACAAGGAAGAAAGAGTGAAAGTGTATAAATAGAAAGAGGCAGACAGAAGCCGGTCTTCTGGTGGAGGAGCGGGAGCGGGATGACGGGAGCAGCAGGTCTCAACCCGTACCTACAAAGAAAAAGGAGACAGACCAGTGTTAGACATTTTTACCACAATATTTTCAGGGTATATCTGTAGTATAGCGGCTATCCTCCGTCCGTACCCTCTTCCTGCTCGCCCCAGCCCTCCGCTACCCCCGCCAGCTCGTAATGTTTCTTCCTCAGCTCGCCCAGACGCTCTCGCTCCTTCTGCAGACGGGTCTCCAGCTCCAGAACCAGGACCTGAGGAAACAGACACAAGCAGAGGGCAACACACCCGTCATTTCCCTGAAGCCATTTATTTTTGAAATCCTAAAATCCTAAACAGATCATAAATTCTTTTGAGTCACATTCAGAAAACATAGGAAACAGTTAACATATTTTTTCTTGGGTATCACACAAGATACTTGATGAACACACTCCTCATTACTTTATCTCCTTCTCTATTGCCATCATAAGAGGCCACTTTGGATATATAATTAATATCTTTTATGACAAAACTGTCACCCAGTTAGCGCATTGGTGCTGGTTATATGATTCTCTCCAGTTTCCCCTGTGCCTGTGGATGCTCTCTAAAGTTAAACACTCATTATTTACACAGGTTGTTAGTTAAGACTCCTAAAAATTCACTTCAAACAGAGGCACTCTGTGCATTAACAACAATGGGCCTTGTGTGTGTGAACTGGTCCAGACCTTTCCATGTTTTTCTTTCAGTGTCGGGGGAAGCAGAGCCACAACACACAGTGAAGTGTTCATATAGATTCAGCTTCTCAACAGACGAGGAAGAATGCACCTTCAGAGTCTAATGTGGGAACTGTGTTAAGTTCGTACTGAGCCAAACTCACATAGCATTAGTCCTAATAAACCATTACCTAATTTCTAAAGTGTGTTTTTCTCGTGTTATGGGCTAAAGGATGGAGAGAATTTTCCTTTGTTCCAATGAAAGTCAGAAAACTTTCCTGAAGTGAAGGTACGTTTGCTTCTCTACTTAAGTTAAAACATGTCGGTGGCCTGTCAGCAAATAAGATGACATTCCCAGATGGTAGTGGCCGATGTTTTCTGTTGCGTCACATTCATTTTGCGCAGGCTAAAAAACAGGACTCAAGACTAACAGCATCCTGAGATCTTCCCCTGGACACCCTCTGGATGAAAGGACGCAGTAAACTCTGTATTGACACGTCAGGGGACGCACCTTACTTATTCCCTGATGATGCTACACTGTGAACAACAAATCTGTGTTTAAATTAGCAGGATGAGAGCTAGTTACGTTAGCTGTTAGCTGTTAGCAGCTGGTGGCCAGAAACAGCTGCTGATGGAGGCTGCATGAGTTGCATTATGATGCATTCAAGCTCTATTTGGTTAAAAGAGTACTGGATAAGCGTAAATAAGTATTTATGTGTATAATGTACATACTTTTTTATTTATTTTTACCATTTCAACATTTATTTATTTTCGGGAGAAACGTGATTAAATACAGCTGTTTGAAGAGGAAATCTGTTTATGTTTTCACAACGATATGAAATAAATATTAGTAAGGGAATTATGACATATATTATATATATAGAAAAATGCTTTTGAAGCAGTTTTTTAAAGATGTTTTTTTGTGTGAAAGAAAGTTATATTAAAAGTTGTTTTAATAATTTGTATGGTTGAAATTATGCTCATTCAAAGGTAAAGTAATAAAGGACTGACTGACTTCAAAACAGTTAAGTTATTTTTTAATAGTTAAGATTTCTTTAATTCTCTGGCACAAAAGGGGATAAATAACAACAAAAACAAAATAAACATCAACAACAAAACAACATTGGTATCAGTACCTGCCCATAATTTCACAACCAATGCATCCCTAATCTTTTGAGACTCACAAGCTTCAGCAATGTGGCTTATTAAGATTTTTTGCTGCATTGTGATGCTTACCTGTGAGTCCATCTCTTGTCGTTTGATCTGAGTGAGAGTCATGCTGGAGAAGTCCATTGTATCTGGACACAAACAAATTATATTCAAACACCTGTTTCTTAAATCTCCCTCAAACTTCAAAACAAAATTATAACACTTGGACATTTTATATCATGATCACACAAATCTTAAAACAATCTAAACCTCCTAGTCACTGTGATCCTCTCACCTGTGTCTTCAATCTGGGACTTCCCAGACTTGGTTGAGGCCACGACAGCAGCAGTGGCCTGTGTGACGCCCCGGGACGCCTGCTGCAGGCGGTGCAGGTTGGCGCTGTCTTTGTCTGCTTTTACCTGGAGAGGGAGAACAGCGGCGGCACGAGAGACATGAGACCGAGGCTCAACTGTATCAGCTCAGCATAACCCAAACAACAGACCGTGTAGCTCCTGAGAGAATGAAAACTATACTCACCTTGGAGGCCGCCACTAGCTGTGCTGTGCTGGCAGCTATTTCATGTGAACACACCATCAGCTCCTCAAACTTCCCTTTGCCCTGCACCACCAGGTCAGCAGCATCTCTGGAACGACACAGTGTTGAGGTTGAGACCAGTTTGTTCACGACACAGAGACAAAACACCTGATTCATGAATGACAAGGTTTTCTTAACATATTCAACAGTGGGTAAATAACTGATAAACAAATGATCATTTTGTGGTTAAAGTATTCCTTTAAAACCTCATTTACTGATTTGTTTGTTATATTTTTATTTCCTTGTCAGATTCACAGCACTTTATTCTGTGTCGTGAGTAGGAGACACTCAGAAGGAGGACTAATACTTACACCATGACCGTGGCGCCCCATCCCACTGCTTTGGAGGCAGAGATCAGGCCCTCAGTCCAGCGGGAGTTCTTGGCATAAAATTCCTTCATGGTGGCTGCCCCCTGGTGGACGCAAAAGGAAGTGTTAAAATATATGTTTCATGACTCTTACTGTAAACTGTTAGAAATGATAGTTGTAATTATCCATTGACATAGAAATGATCTTCTTGATTCATATATTAATCATTCAGTCAATAACATTTAGCAAAATAGTGACAAATATCCATCAGTTTCTCAGAGTCCGAGGCGGTTTATTTAAACTGTCTGCTCAGCAGTCCAAAATCAAAACATATTCAGTATACAGTAATTTAATACTAGAAAATGCAGCTTATTCTCACATAAGAGAAGCTAAAACCATCGACTAATTGCTCCAGCTCTAGTCCAGAAACAGTATCATGAGTGTGTTCAGTTAGTTTCCAGAGTGGATTTGGTTGTTTCAACTTAGTTTTTACTTATTTTTTTAATATTTAGTTGTCGTTTAGTTTTAATTTAGTTTTAATAGTGTTAGATCTAGTTTGTTTTATTATATTATGGGCAGATTTTTTGGGGACAAGATATAAGAAGTGCAGAATATGTATTACAAAACAAACACAAAACTTTGTGAAGCAGCTGACTAGAAGTCATGTAGACATTCATGTCTCAATAAATATATGTAATACCGCCTCCTCAAGCTGGTGATGACAAATCTGACAACTAAAGACATTTTCTGTATATTTTTAAATTTAATTTTTAGTTAGTTTTATAAGTACACAATATCATTTCAATGAGGCTTTTTTTTTAAAGTCTAATTTTTAATCTTATTTCAGTTAACTAAAATGTTTTTTCGCACCTGGTTTTAGTTTAGTTTTAGTTCACTATAGTAACCTTGATCTGTGCGACATAGAGGAATCAATTACTGCTCTCTGCAATAAATACAACCAGTTTTTGTTGAGAGTGTGTCACTGCTTTATACTGTAAGGAGCACCTAATATTCTAGGTCTCAAGGTATTCTATCATAGTTGATATTCATTCATTCATTCATTCATTCATTCATTCATCTTCTAACCGCTTCATCCTCTTGAGGGTCGCGGGGGGGCTGGAGCCTATCCCAGCTGTCATCGGGCGAGAGGCAGGGTACACCCTGGACAGGTCGCCAGACTATCACAGGGCTGACACACAGAGACAGACAACCATTCACGCTCACATTCACACCTACGGACAATTTAGAGTTACCAATTAACCTAGTCCCCAATCTGCATGTCTTTGGACTGTGGGAGGAAGCCGGAGTGCCCGGAGAGAACCCACGCTGACACGGGGAGAACATGCAAACTCCGCACAGAAGGGCTCCCACGCCCGGGATCGAACCGGCAACCCTCTTGCTGTGAGGCGAGAGTGCTAACCACCACACTACCGTGCCGTGATATTCTGTTTTTTTAATCAGAAAAAAATGAAACCGTACACATTTGTTGAACCATAAAATATATTTACATACAACAGAGCTCCTTAGTGAAAATGGTAATCAGCAATCAGGGTCCTGAAGCTCTAGAATGACCTGCCCGAGGAGATAAGGCTGCCTGTGTCAGTAGCCTTGTCTAAGTCTCTCCTAAAAATGTACTTCTATCGGAAAGCACATCCTGACTTTATCTGAGCTGTCTGTTTTATTGCTCTCTTATTGATGTTATTTTCCATTTATTATCTTGATTTTAGGTTTGGCCTTGCTTATTTTATCTTTGACTAGGCGACATTTTACGACATTATTTGTTTTATTCTCCTTGTCTTTTAAATGTGTTTAGTTTCATTGTACAGCACTGTGTAGCTGTCATATAAATTAAGTTTAATATCATTATTATCACTATTATGAAAATGAGCATATGTGAATATGACAATTATCCATTACAGTTAAAAGACTGTAAAGCTTCATATTCTCATCGGTCAGTGTGGAGAAGTTGGAGGTTGAAATTAGAAAATGATGCTGAATATCTTGTGAGAAATCTGACCAACATCTCTTTCTCACTGTCAGAATGATGAAGAGGAAACTGCAGCGTGCAACTCCGCATCTGTAACTCACCCTGCCACTCTCCACGATGTCCCTTTGCAGATTTTTGGAAGACAGGACGAGCTGCTTGATGGCCTGCATCAGCTCTGTGCAGGAGGCCAAAATCCTGCAGGGGGCGACAGAGCAGAGGACACAAACACTGACACACTGAAAACTCTTGAGCTGCTACCGATCTGTCTGTTTTATAGGAAGCAAAACACTAAAGTCTGTTCAGTGTTGTGTCTGCATATATCTTGAATAAAACTTAGTCTAGTCCAGTCTGATCGGCTCCTGAGGGTTGTCGGTAAAAGAATGCATCATCCAACCTGAGACATTTTGAACCAGAAAGACACGAGCTTCTGCACTATTTAGAAACATCAGTTAGTTTCCTCACAGCCTAGTTAAGACATGACCAACGCACCACTGACCTAGTATTAGTATTTGTAGCAGCAGCAGTTGTTTGTTTCCTGTCATAATTATCTCTCACAGCAGCACTGCTGCAGCTTCTACATTATTAATTAAGTCAGGAGCCCAGAAAAGTTTAATTGGCTTCATTTGCACGCAAAGAGAATATTTACACAGCCTAGATGAATAACAATGACAAGATACAAACCTGACTGTGACGACATGAACACTTTGATCAGTGTGAGACAGAATCTGGTGCTCCTGCATCCTTGAATGGTTTATTGAAGATTTATGTGCGTGCAACAAAACCCCTCTGATGGTTAAGTTTGGAGCAGCGAGCCAAGCTTCTGCTCAATAATGTAATCAAGAGATTTCTGAACTTCCTGCGGCTATTAGCAGCGCCGTATAAATAAACCCATTTGGTGTAAAACATCTATGATATGTTAACAGTTTGTGGAGCTGCTCCAGCGAGAGAGGGAATACACGCACTGAAGAAACTAATTTTGGGTTGGTATGGATGGAACAACAGCAGACACAAACATTACGTGCCACACTGGCTTCACAGTTTGCGCAGGCTTTTGTGGCTGAACTGATGAAATTCTTCGCACGTCAGCCCTCAGTGTGTGACCGTCTGCAGCTTCACTGAAACATCATGTGACTGTTGTGCTGCCTTGTTGAAAAGCACCTCTATTTCCTTTTCCAGCTCGTTGCCTTTGTTGGCATTCATCACATCTCATGGTCAAACTCAGACTCTCACAAACAAATAATTGCAGGCTTGGCTTGCTGCATCTATCTATAGCAGGCAGGTCGCTTCCTCAATCTTCATATTTTTTTAGGCACTTTCATTTCTCTTTCACCACAGAGAGGTTGTTGTTCTCGCCACTGATAGTTCAAGATATGGTTTCTTCTTTAATCTTAATACAACTTGCTGCTACAGTATCTCCATACTGTAAAGGGAACCTGCAGGATTTCGCCCGCTGTTTTTGATTGCTACGTCCTGTAGTGCCTGATTTCACGGCAGCTTTTCTAAAAAAAAAAAAAAAAACAAAAAAAAAAACAACACGATGCATGTTGCTGTTTATAGGTGTTTTTTGCAATGAAATTGAGGAGGCAAGTGAAAACTGCAAAAACTAGTTGTGATGCTGTCTCAAATTCAGAGCGCATTACTATGAGCATTCAGTATATATTTGTGATGGTAGGGAGGAGGCTGAATACTGATTGACACATCACTAAAGGCCAGTCCCCATGAGAGGTTGTCCTCCTCCTCCCTCTGCCCGGACAGCAAGAGCTAACACAGCACATTGTGATCGCATCACTACTCATCATATCTTGCTTCTTGGGAAGAGACCCCGCAGCAGAAGGATCTGACACTGAGCTGTTAATCTCAAACCGACAATAAAATGGTTCAACTTCTGTTAAACCTGTATATAACTGTTTGGTATCGTTAGCCACGTCGCTGTGTGTCTGTTACTCCAGGCATGGAGCTCCAGTCCTGCAGAAGTAGTCTCATGATAAACAAAGAGAGAGGGGCTGAGCGAATCAATACGCTGTGTGCAGCTCTACAACCAAGTGAGATTTCATCACTTTAAATAATCAAATTTGTTGTTTTTGCACAGAATTTAGGGGAATGGCTAAATTTGCATTGATTGTTGTGATTCCAACCTCGCGAAATCCTGGAGGAACTGGCAAGATAAAGCCAGTGTCAACAGGTATGAGACATTTCAATTCAAGATCATTTTTAACCAAATGAAAGACTGAGTTTTTAACAAATCATCTCTTTTTTATTCAATCACTGCAGGTCAGTATAAAGGTGAACAGTTTATATGTGGTCCTGTGCAGAGGCAGGTTTTATGTAGAAATACTGTTATTAGAGTGAGTTAGGTTAATCTACATTTTTTCCAGCAGGCAAGTGCAGTTATAAAGGAAAAAGACAGCTCCAGGTTCAGTGGTAGGTTTAAAGCCTCAGTGTGTAAAAATGGTGAGTAACAGTGACGTGAGCAGTCACTTACCCGTCGGGTAAGTGACGGTGGCCTCATAGGATAAAAAGCCTTGCGCAGACAGCAGAGATCCATCCACGAGTTTTTCAGGAGTAGGCCTATCTAGCGACGAGATGAATATTTATTTAGGAATCTAGACCATGTTACGATGTTGTAGCAACCCTGCAGTAAATGTTCTGTTATAACGTCAGTGTTCTGTGTTAATGGCATGTTTGGGATTGAATGAGTATAGGTAGGGGGGCGGGGTGCGAGTGTGACGGGGATGAGGGCTGTGTGAGTGCGCGTGCTGGTGTGTGTATGAGCGAGCTGGAGGAGAGAGCAGTAGTGCACAGTTGGAGTTATAGTTAAGTTCTTGTTTTTTGGTTGTTTTGGCGTAGTTATGGCCAACAGTAACCTGTACTGTTCAGTAATAAACGGTTGTTTGCCGAATAACTGCGTCATCCTTTTCACACGTCCTGGCGGGCGCTACAATATGTTATAGCTTGCCAGTGAGATATAGGTTATCTGTGAGATATAACGTTATGTTAGGAGTGTTTTATCTCTAATTGTTTTGGTAACACGAGCAAACATTAGCACAGTAATGTTAAAATAACACGTTTTATGTGATAGTCACGGCACAGTGCGGCAAACATAGGTTGGTATGATTATAATATATGCGTCTCCAGAGTGTTCTTCCACAGGAGTTCAAATAAAATAAGCAACGCCGATATTCACTTGCGTTTTGTCCCGTCCTCGCTTATCTGATCTTTTTCTTTTATTTGGTTGCGTGGTTTCCCTCTTACGGGGCAAAACATATGTGTGGTCCTCCATTTAAAGTCTGACAGAATCATAAAAGTACAAAGCAGGTTCACGCAGAAGCGCCTTGGATTGAGCTTCACCTTCTCTGTCTCCAGTGACGGCAAGTTCTAGGTAAACGCGAAAGGAGAAGCGCGTATATCCCTTTTAGCCACTGTATTCAAATATGACGACGCAAGAGGGCAGCCTCCAGCTGACCGCGCCCTGCCTGTGTATATATAGACAAATCATTCTAAGCCTATGAGAAAGCTTCCATTTGTATGTGAATTGCATTACACTTTAGTAAATATATATTTATGAAAGCAATAGTTGATATTTGCTAATAAACAACCACGTAAATTACACATTGTAACTTTGAAGATATCTAACATCAGAAGCATGGACTTTCACACAGAAGAGTTTAACTCATTTTGACGAAAAGACAATTAAGGGTGCTTTTACACCTGCCCTGTTTGGTTCAATCAAACTCAGGTTTGTTTGCCCCCTAAGTGTGGTCCGTTTGGGCAGGTGTGAACACAGCAATTGCACTCAAGTGCGCACCAAAACAACCAAAATGGGACCTTCTTGAAGAGGTGGTCTTTGTCTGGTTACAAACGAACTCTGGTGCGGTTCGTTTGTGGTGAGAATGTGTTCCAACCTCGATCTGAAACAACTTCAGTCACATGACACATTGTTTGGGTTAAACATGAGCATGTTACAGTCCTGGAGGATTATTAATGTGCACCTCCTCCTGTACTGCCTTAATATGCACATTCAGCACATCCAATGCATCAAAACATTGTTTTCTAGTTGGAGCCGCGCCTCGTTTTCAAACTGTATGGTTTGACTAAAATGAACAATGACAGCAATATAGTCCATGATGAGCATCGCTAAAATCAACCTGCGTAGTTGTCCTTCCATTGTGACATTAGAAAGTGTCTCATTTATCTTGCAAGTGTACTCTTCTTCATTGTTTTGTTTACTTCCTGGATTTTTCCCACATGGAAATTCTGACCAATCAAGAGCAGCTTTCTCTCACAAGGCATTTTATCTGGTCCACTTGTAAATGCTGCCGTGAGAACATGAACCAACTCTAGGCAATTGTGCCCCTTTGTAACAAAATTAGTCCCTGATTCAGACCAAAGCAAGACAACTCTAGGGCTGAAAGCACCCTGAGACCTCACAAATTCTAATTTAAGACCATTAAATGACTTTTAAGGCCTAATGTTTATAGAAATTTTAAATGTAAGACTTGTAAGGACCTGCTCCAAAATCCACAGAAAGTAGAAAAGTTTGTGGGTCAGCTGTAGCTCTACTTCAGGATAATTCTTGTGGGCGTAATGAAGCTGATGTTTTTGGTGGATTTAGTTCAAATCGTCTTGCACGCTCCTGAAACTCATTAAGATGCAAGAATCTTTAATTTTTTAGTTAATTTGAATTTTTTTATATTAAACTCTGTGTGTAAGTCTTTTCACCTTGGAGACAGTCTCTGATTATTGTGACAGTAAAAAGCGATTCCAGCTCTAATCTGCGCTTTACCTCTCGTTGACCTCCATCTTGATTCCTGTATCAACTGCTCGAGACTTGTTGAGCATTTCCTGTTGGGATCCACAGAGGCACAAGGGAGACAAAAAAAGACACTTTGAAGTTAATACTGCTGGAGAGTGAAACAGGGGGCAATGTTTTCACACAGCCTGCAAAGAGCCGCTCACTAACACACACAGCGAGCACACTCTAATACACATCTGCTGCCAGATGACCATGACTAAACACACACACACTTCACGCACCTCTATCCTGGCAGCTGCCGATTCCACAGCAGCGGAAGTGGCAGCCATTTCCTGCTCCACTAGATCTCCCAGCTCCCCCTGCTGCAGCTCCAAACCCCGAGGACGCAGTTTCTGAACGAAGACAGGACAAGAAAGACTGAGCTAACACATTTTTATCACACCTTTTATCAGTTTAAACTCATTCCTGCTTTCACTCTGGGGACGCTCTGACCCATTTTATGTTCACACAGAGCAAACATGCATGTATGAAATATGGACCTCTGCTGCGGCAAAGATGGCCTCCAGAGCCGCCTTCAGCTTGCTGTTGTCTGCTGCACCCAGGCTGTCCTGCTGCTTCATCTGGCCCAGCAGAGCCAGAGCTTCAGCCCCGCACACCTTCACACTCTCTGACAGGGCTGATGGGGATGGAGACAAGGAAAAGGAGGATGCACGCCATTAAAATACGTAAACATACACAGAAAAAAAACACCAAACAGCCTGGTTTCCTGATTGATATAACTTATAGACGCTCTTAAGTGTCAAAGCTAATATATTCCATGCTGTAAAAATCATTTACACTCCATTTTCTATGAAAATGCCATATTATGTCATGTGTAAACTGTGATGTGTATCAGTGCCACTAGTGGATGCAGCTGCAGTGTTAATTATACCGACATCCCCTCAGGCAGAGTGTCAACTAACAGCTGAAACAGCCACTCTGATGGGAGGAAGAGGGAAACCAAAACTACCTCTACAGCAGCTGTTGGCCTTTTTTTTTAAAGATGCAGGACGGCCAGATGATTTGCATCAAAATGTACACTGGCTTTCAAATGCTGCATTCAAATGTCTTGGTAAAGTATGGACAAATACAGGATGGTTTTAAGACGGAATAAGACTTCTGGACGGAACTCAATTATATTTAGGTCTGTTTCGACTTGCCCAGGCTGCTAACATCGCCCGAGAAAGCGAAATCCTGCTCACATGACTCCTGAATGAGGTCAGCAACTTCCTTTCATCCAATCATGTTCTGGCTGCAACCTTTGACTTTCAAATCACAGGCCGTTCAAAAATAGACCAATGCCAAAAGATTATTTTCACACAAACATTAATGTACATCCCAGCTACAATAACGTTAACTTAAACTGCCAAACCTCACTGTGCACATGTATCACATGAGGAGGTATTAACCACTTACAGACATGTCAGAGCATGTCAGGGCTGACTGACTCGCCCACAGATTATTATCAGGAGAGAAGTGGAGACTGCAATCTATTCATCTCTGTCTCGCACACACACACACACACACACACACACACACTCATATACACAAACACTTACCATCAGCTTGCTCCACAGGCACCATGTGGGAGGTGGCACTACCCTGAACAATGGTGTCGCCCACCAGGTGACCACACTGGGTCACCACTCGTACCAGCCCAGAAACACCTACACCAACAAACAACGCACACATGCCTCAGTCAACATGTACATATATAAAACACTGGTCCCCACTTATATCACTTTTTATTTTGTGCATTTTTTGTTGGACTTGGATCTTTGTTGGAGATTCAGCCTCTCCTCTTCTTTCTCTCTCTGTGTTTGTTTCATTCTCCTCTCTGTGTGAATGAGGTGCTTCAGTTTGGCTTCTTGTGTTTTTCTGTAGCCTGTCCCTTTTATAGGCTGTGATAAGGAGGTCGTGTGGTTCAGGCTCTAACTGTCTGGCGACACCTGGAAACGTCTTGACATCCTCCTGGATCCATTTTCCTCATATATGTTCACATTCTATGCGTCACTTTCTCATATATATTGTCTATATTGTAACTATATTATGTTGGTTTCTTCCGGTGGAAGAGGGATCCCTCCTTAGCTCCTCTTCAGGATTTTTTCCCCCTGTTAACGGTTTGGTTGGGGAGTTTTTCCTTATCCAAATTGGTGGTTTAAGGATAGAATGTGTCGTATGCTGTACAGATTGTAAAGCCCTTTGAGGTATAAATTGTAATAATGGGCTATATAAATAAAACTGACTTGACTTCCTTATCACTGTGCTAAAGTTCTAGTGTGTAGGATTTAGTGGCACCTAGCTTCTGAAGTTGCAGATTGCAAACATCTGAAACTTCTCCTGTGTGCCAAGCATGTAGTAAAACTATAGTGGCTGATGAGAAAGTGCAAAAGCGTGAATGGCCCTCTCTACAGAGTGTTTGGTTTGTCTGTTCCGGGCTACTGTAGAACAACATTGCAGTCTCCATGGAAGAGGACCTGCTCTGTATGTAGATACTAACAGTTCATTTTAAGGTAACTAAGATAGCGATTCTTATTTTGAGGTGATCATAAACTACTGAAAACATAGTTATTATAATATATTCCATATCTGTCAATATATCTCCATAAATCCTACACACTGGACCTTTAAAGATAGGGGTGGGAATAACTTGAGGCTCCATGATACGATATTGTTATGATACATAAGTCATGATACAATATTACTGCCATTTTAAACGTGTTGTGATATGCTGAGTAGTGCAATAAAATATATTGTAATATATTGCAATTTATTACCATTTTTCAGTGGCAAATTATGTCCCCAAAGGAAAACTTTGTCAAAATCAACAGTTTTATCAAATAAAGTAGTTAGTCTGTTCATCTCACCTCAGTCATTTTTATTGCAGCAAAAATGTATAAAATAGACTGAAAACGCAACTGCTTTTATTATTCTAGTAGGCTACCACATGTTTAATTTGTATTTGTAACATTAATAATTTATGCAATAAAAAAACAGTACTTGGTGTCCGTGTTACAATACCATATTGCCACACAAAAACTATACTATACTATACTGTATCGATTTTTCCACCTCCCCATTTAAAGATTTCATTTGACCCTGTTTCATGTTTTTACTCTTCCATGTGTACAACAGTATTTTTATATGAATGTGGCTGAACAATGAGAGTAGCATTCTTTAACAAGACTTGGATAAATTCAGAGAAGGCTCTACAGCTGATAGAAACTTTACAACAACCGCTTTTGCATTTAGGAGGGACATTAGCAAGCTAATAGCATATTAGCTGGTAGCTAGCAAACACCTATAGCTACTACAGTAGGCTGAATCAATGGATGTATAAATAGACCTGGATACAGCATTTAAGTTGGGCCCTGTTTCTTATAAACATTTTTCGAAGAGCTCTATTTCCACTGTATGAAATTGCCTAGATGAGCAGCGCTGCTTCACCATCAGGAACAGACGCACAAGAGACTTCTGCTGGCCAAGTCAGCTACGTCTGGTGTAGCACTCTGCTAACTTGAATGGGGATAAAATGATTTCATGATGCAGCTTTTCTAGACTTTTCCAATGTTACTGAACTGAATGAACCAAATACTGATGTCGAAACAAGTCATTTCAAAGGGGTGGTGACTGATTGGTGGAGTGGCATTCTCAGAACCCATCGGCTGTATTCGGCGTCTGACTTCCAGCAGATGGCGATACAGCCTCTGGGGGCAGACCCCCGATTTTTTGGCATTCCGGTTTGATTTGGGCGGAGGAGGCGAATTTCCGTTTCCGACTTCCGTTTATATATAAGTAAATATGCTGAACCATTGCGATGGATTCAGAGTTTGCAGTGACGCCAATTATGTTCCGCCTCGTTAGTTCACTGCACGGACCGTTTAACCTGGCAACAACTGCAGCCGGCTCAAACGTGATTGGTCAATATCACGCGGACTACAAACAGCCTACAACCGAAACCAGGGCTCTTCCGCTCTTCTTCCAGAGGCAAGATCTCCAGGGTTTGCCTACAGACTCTACATTCACTGAATGTACAGTAGAGTCTGTAAATAGAGACTAGTGGAGTGGTGATTTACAGACATCTCTTTCACAATAGAAGTCTGAGGGAAAAAGTTTTGGGTCCAATAGCATCATGTGATGGACATGAACATTGTAATTCCATGTTTGGCCACTGTAAAAATGGCTTCAAAGCCTGGCACACTTTCCAAGAACAGTGCCGCTTTCACTGTTGGGATTTGATCGATTCAGTCCAATAACATTTGTGCAGTCTGCTAGCATGATTAAATAGTTTTTATCCCCATTCAAGGTAAAGTTAGCGGCGTACTAAACCAGAAGTTCGCCGCTCAGCTGCTGTAAGTTCCTTGTGCGCTTGCTTTATGGGATGCTGAAGATCTGGATAATTTTATACCATGGAAATCAGGATTTTTGGCTTCATGTGCCACTGAGCAACTTTGATAAGACTGAATGGGGCTGCATCCAGTTCTCTTTGTACATCCACTGGCTTAAAAAACAGAGCTACATTTGATCAACCTTATTGTTCAATTAGAAATTACCATTTAAATTACAGCTGCATTTGTAATTCTCCTAACAGGCTCACACAGACATCGCCTTGTGCCAGCTTTGGCTCTGCCTTTTCTCTGTTTTTATGATTCATGTTTTAAAGCCTCCACACGTCCTCACAGGTGTTTCCACTTATGCTGCCTGATTAGACCTCTTCTCAGGTCTGTCTGTACAGACTGTGCTTGATTGACACCTCTCTCTTGCAAGTCTTAGTAATAATGCACCTGCCAGAGCACTTACATCATTATCATTTCTGTATTAGTGCAGAGAGTTTGGTGATATTACATCAGTTCCCTGCACAGTTTCCCCCGAGCTTCAGATGAGTTAATCAGCCAAAATAACTGAAAACACCTGTGTGGCCTTTAAAATGATATTTCTAAGGTGCAGTATTTAAGAAAATGTTGAGTTACAAAGGAATGATCAAAGGCAGCACAACATCAGTTAAAATGTCTAATTATGTATCTTATTACATGACTTTATTATGTAGCTTTGCATATGACGCATCCTTTACAAAGCTATCATCTTACCCGTGCTGTCAGCCAGGAAGGCCTCTCTGGCAGATTGGAGTCGGTCCATGCAGTCCAAAGAGGCCTGACATCTGGATGCTAGGTAGTCTGCAGAGATTTAAAAAAAAAAGAGCTAAGACACAAATATGCAAACATGCACACAAACATTCATACACACTCTAAATCACAGCAACTCTGACCTGCAGAGCTGGTGCAGCTGATGTGCGCCGGGTCATCTATCTGAGCCAGTGAGTCCTGGATGATCTTCTCCGCTTCCTCCACAGCTCCCTGCAGGCTGGACCAGCGAGCTGCGACCAGCTGGCTCTCCAACTCCTGCTCCCTGCTCTCCTGTGGACATATTCACACACATACACGGACACCAGGCTTTATTAGAAATGCCCGAAGGTCCAAATGTGGAAACAAAGATGTTCAGTGGCTCCCTGTAACATCTGCTTAATGTATTAGAGCTAATAACGAAAGTTAATTCAGAAAGATAATTGAGAAAATGACTTTTGTCCACCTTCTCATTGAGCTGATTCTGCAGGGCTTCTGCTGTCTTCACCCCGCTCTCCCTCTCAGTTGCCAGCGAGCTCTGGACTCGCTCTAGCTCCTCCCCCCGGACAGTCAGCTCCGCCTCCACCCTCGACAAGGACTGCACGAGCTCCGCCTTCTCAGACTCCAGGGCGACCAGCTGGTTGCTGAGCACCTCACTCGACTGCATGGACGAAATAAAACACGGAGAGATAAATAAAAAAAATGGACGATGATTTCGAGGCACAATGAATCAGCAGGAAGACATGGTTAGGATAATATGTAGCTGTCAGGACATGTCAGGATGTGGTACGATGTGAGCGCTTTGATCTCACCATAAAAAAAAAACCAAAAAACCTTTTTATCTGCAGCCACTGATTATAACAATATTGCCTCCATTTAAGTTTGCGGAGAGGCGTCGAGTCTCCAGAGAGGTTTGAGGTCAAGTTTACAATCAAACGAACACTGGGAAGCTGTGGTTGTGCAACTTGGCTGCATTGCAACAATCATGAACTATGGCAACAGAGTGAAGAGTTACATCAGATCTTGTGAACTGGAAGTTTGTAAAATGACATTTTTTTTTAACTATTTGCAAGCTAAATAATGAGGTGAGTGCGTGAAAATGTTCTGCAGGTCAGAAAACGTGTGAGACTTACAGCCTGAGTCCCAGCAGTCCGACAGAAAGCAAGAAATGTTGAGAGATGAAGGAGAAGCAGAGTTAAGAATATGGATGTAAACTGTGCAGCAGGAGCCTGTCAGAGCTGGGAGCATGTGACAAGAGCGATCAAACGTGGGCTGCGCGTGAAAAGAACTATGGAGATTAGGAAGATGGAGGATGAGGAGGAGGAGGAGGAGGACAGAAAGAGTGACAGGGTTGATAAGTAGTGGCTACAAAAGTAGGACGTCAGGAGTGGGAGGCAGAGAGGGCCGAGAGGCTGCGTGTCCAGAGAAACATCTGAAATTGGGGGCGGAGGGAGTCACGAGCAATCAGTGGGGTTGTGAGGGTTAATAGCTCGAATCCGTGGCTTATTGAACCGACACTCCCCTGATTGTGCCCTTCAAAATATTCCTGCAGATCAATTTTTGCTAACATGATTATACGGAGGCTAGAAACCCAGCAGCTGCATTTACACAGGTGGCTGTTTGAACAAGGTTTTACTGCTTCTGTGTTTTTATTCTGGTCTGTTCTTCTAAAGAGATGCCTGTTACAAACATCAACTTGTACAGAGATGACAAATGCAGACCAACAGAGGATCAACAAGAAGAAACTGCTGTGTTTCCCCGCACTGAGCACAGATTTACCGACGTCAAAGAAATACATTAGCATATCAATTCTGTCAGAAAATAAATGTGTTTGAGATTCTGCTGTGGGGAGGACAGTCGGTGACTAAGAGCGGAGATGACATAACAAGTGACAGACGTCTTACAGATGAAAGACACAAAGTGCAAAAGCAACAAAAGGTGAAAAAAATGTGAAAATGTTATTGATTATGGTGGAGCATTTCACTGTGGAGCAAGCACTCATTCACTGAGGCTCAAGAGAGTTTCAAATTCCACCAACGCAGTCAGGATCCAGGATCTGCTGTCATCACTTGTTGTCATGATTTAAGCCACATCCACACTAATATGTTGTTGTTTTAAAGTGCTGTTTTAAAATGAAAACGACATATGTACACACAAGAGTTTCAGAATTAATCTCCATCTATTCTAACATGTCTGAAAACGCTTATTGCATGACCATTCATTTATACTGACATGGCAGTGTAAACAGGAAGATTGTCTGCTCTGGTTTCAGAAAACACGATGGTGATGGCAAAAAGTGAGACTAGAGATTTCTTTGCTTGGACCTGTGAAGAGGTGGAACGGTTACTGAAAGTTACATGAGTATAAAGAGAACAGACTGTGAGTCGCTACAAAGCAAATATGCCGACATATTAAAGTGGTACCGGGAGCTTTATTCAACACCTGAGGGAGTCATGGTGATGGGAAGAGAGTGCTGACACAAGAAGGATGAAATCACAAAAGGGATGTAGACCTAGCTACAATGTTTTAGCTTGACACATCATGACAGATAACACCTTTCAAAGGTCTCCATTTCCACTCATCTAAACTAAAGCCCCTTTTACACTGCCAGACTTTCGGCGAATATATGGGCCGTTTTGCTGGCAGGCTGTGAGCGTTTAGACACACAGAGCCGGATTGGCGAGTTGATCTGAGGTGCCCAATTTTCCGCCTCGTAGGGTAGACATATTGGCGGAACACTTTTAGTTTAAACAGGAGGGGCTGTTGATCACTTGTGGGAGGAACTGTTGTTGACGTGGCATGTGTGAGCCACTGGCGGTGGATAAACAGGAAACAGCTGATAGCAGGAATGAGCAGCTAGTAGCAAGACGGAAACGCAAACCTGACAAACACTGTAAAGATGAGCAACTGGGGAGACAAGGAATTGTGCGCCCTCTTTGCCCTCACAAATGAAGATGCTGTTAACCGTCAGATGACGGGAACGGTGAAGAACAGGCCAACTTATGAGAGAATCGCCGAAGAACTGATCAGCCGCGGCTTCCCTCCCACGTCACTTATTATGTCACACGCTGAGCTACACGCTTTGTTACTTGCTCACGCCCCCCATTGCCCCGAAAAAGGCACATTCTGTATAAACAAAAGTAGGTAGGCGGCAATTTGCCGCAATCCCAGATTTTGTCTTTATACTGCCAATGCTGAACGAAGACTGACTGGGCTTTCCTGCAAATTTGCACAATTCCTATTTAAAAAGGGCTTAAAACGCAACTCTGGTGTAAACGCTGGTCGTTACAGAAAGTTGCAGTGTTGTTATTGCAACAATTAACGCAAATTCAGCCAATCTCAGTGAATTCTGCGCAACCTTTAGGGTTTAACGACAGAGTTGGGCTATTTTGGTGTCAGTGTGCGATTGTTGGGACCGTATAATGGCTCTGGGACGGATGTTAGCTGCTCCTGCTGTGTTAGCTCGTGCTAACCGGAGAGAGAGCAGGAGGAAAGCGACTTATAGAGACAGTCCTTCAGCACTGCAATGAATGACAGCAAGCAGCTTTTAAAGGCAGCAACAATCCCCAAAACAGCCTGTAAAATCCAGCAGGGACTGAACAACAGTTGTGTGTTTTAAAACAAAAAGACATTAGTGTGGATGTAACCAATGAGAACAGCCGGATCCAGGATACAGGATGGTATATACAACAGCCTGGGCCGAACCATTCCTGTTTAAGATGGTCAGCTTTCTGAAAACAAGTCAGCTGATTCATTATGTCAACATTTCACACACACACAGGAACCAAAGATGTTACCAGAGCTACACAAGTGAAAGGCAAGTGAGATCATCCAATAATTGATGACTAGAGTAAGAGCGTGTGACGCCAGCAGCCCATTTTTAGATTTCCTCCAGACTGTGCTCCATTAGGACCCGCCAGGTCTGTTAGTCAGGGTGAAAAATTTCATATCATTAATCATTCCACGCTTTCTTGTAGCAGCTGCTATTATCGTTTTAAATTGGGACCGTTATAAATGAGTTGAGTAACTTCTGAAAGCAACTTTGGAGATCTAGTTAGAAGATTCAATCTAATCATGAGAGTCATAAGCTGAGGGGAGGGGTGACCTGTTGTGATGAGGCCATGGTGGTCTTCAGGGAGTCCAGCTCCGTCCTGCTGGACATCAGCTCTCTCTGGAGCTCCTGAAGCTGCTCCAGCTGTTCGCGCTCCTGAGAAAGAGAAGACAAAATCTCACTTTAGAACATCTACAACAGTAAAACTTTTAATTGAATGTTTCTACAGAAGTTTGAGCTCTGTTCAGGTCGGAAAAAAAAAATAAAAAAAAATACAATTTCTCAGCACTTTCTTTTGTTTTGGGTAATTTTGTAGCCAATTGATTTCACTGTCGGCCCCTAAAATTTAATCCAAACACTGAGCTAAACTTAGTGTGTGTTTTTAAATCCATCTGGTACTCACCTGTCTGTCTGCAACCTCCTGAGCGGCCTTCACCTTCTCCTGCATCTCTCTCCTCACTGCCTCCACTTCGTCCTGTGCTGCCCGAGCCACCGTCATCTGCCGGGTCACCTCTGCGTTCTACACACACACATACACACAACGGACATGGGACACAGGTGCAGACACACAGAGAAACACACCAAAATAATCAGGCCAGGCTGAATCTTCAGCTTGGGGGATATAAAGAGGACAGCAGGAGGACAGGACTTAATTTAACTTTGAAGTTTTTTTTTTAGAAGAAGACAAGGACACAGAGGAGGATTTGACTGAACCTGAAGAAGTAAGACTCGTCTCTCTCACCTTCCTCAGCAGGTCTGCATGACTCTGAACCAGCTCTGAGTACTTCTCCTTCAGTTTGGTGTAGCGCTGCTCGTTGGCCTGAGCTTTTTCTGTTTAGAAACACACACAAGAGAGAGAGAGAGAGAGACATACAGTTATCTTCTACTATCTGTCTTCGACTTTCCACCTTGCTTTCGCTTTGACTTACTGTGAGAAATCAAAGATCCAACTGTTTGTGAATTAATCCCAGACTTTGTTTTTTTCCTGGTCTTATTTTGATCAGTGTGTGAGCGAATTCCTCTAATAGCCACAGCATTCAAAAGGGTACTTCGCTGATTTTCAACCAGCTTTATATCAAAACAATGTGGGTAGTGTGTGTTAATGAAATGTAATCTGAGTGGGCGGAGGTTCGCTGCATAGATCAGCCTCTCATTGGGCGGAACGAGCCACCGCTAAAGTCCCGCCCTACCACCTCCGGTTGTCATAGTCGACAAATGTCCTTTACTAACTTTTGCGGTGTTTGATCTTGCGGGGATGTAGCCATTTTTCTGCCATGGTTTGCGTCCTGTAGGTGATATTTTTGTGGGCGTGTTACACCAAAACCTGTTTCCCCCCGGCAATATTTTTGCAAGCGCACCATTGCTGTGCCACTGCCCAGAACGACTGTGATTGGTTGAAAGAAATAAAAAAAGCCGGGCCGTTTTTTTCTCCAATCTTAAAGTGAGAGTCGGCCCAGCCAGACCTTTCTTTTCTTGAGAAAGGTCTGGTGAGCGAGACTAATAAAAGGTGGTAAACTTCCCTCCATCTAACCAGCGCCTAGATATCCCTCCTCACACCCCTGCGAGACTCTGCCAGATGCCGTAATTTGGGTCATCTGTCAGAGTTTCACTGGCTCTCAGGACGTTGCTTGAACAAAAGGTTGTACTTTTGCATTTTCGTATTGCCCGCCACTCTTGCCACCACTGCGAACACCTTTGTCTTTCTCAAACATTTTAGTGTTTTAGTGCCATGTTTGGCTGTGATAGCGAGAGTTGCATAAGCTGGCACTCATAGTCTGTAACGTTTGTTGTCACTTAAAGTAAATGCAACATCGGTGGGATTTGTTGGACTAACCAGAATAAAGACGAGAAAGCTTAAATGATTCTAAACTATTTTGAAATCTCTCTGAATCATAAATCATCTCTAAACCGATAATAACGTGATATCATGACCAAAGAGGTCTTACTCTCGATCTCCGTCAGGCTCCGCTGCTCCTTCTCCGTGTCCTCTCGGACCCTCCGCAGGTCATCAAGCTCTGCTTTCAGGAACTCGCTCTCCCCTACGGCCTGCAGCCTCAGGTGGCTCTGCTCTGCAAGCTCCGCCTCCAGCTCATTGACACGCCCCCTCAGCGCCTGACACAAGCGACCACTCTGGAGAGGTACAGAGAAAGATGAAAATAAATTTCACACTTGTTTCTGGGAGTCCTTTATAGATAGATTTTTTGTGTGTGAGACATGACACGACAAGTGGTTCCTCTCCTCTTTACCTCCAGTCTGAAAGACTCCAGCTCGTCTTTGAGGGCCTGGATCTCCCTCGTCAGCTGTTCAATCAGACGGTCTCTGACAGGTACAGACAAAATATCAGTCAGTCAGTTTGCATGCATTTTACTATACGTAATATTTTACTCAGTCAAACCAAAGATCCATATTTGTGGTGGGAAATTTGTGATCAGTTGAGTCACAAAACGCAATGATTAAGTTTGTCTATATAAATGTGACGATAATAAGTTAGCTTCTTGTCAAATGTTTAATGATTCTGACAGCTATAATCACACACACATAAACTTAATGTGACATTTTTAAGGCCTTACTTGTCTTCCTTCCTCATGCCGTTCTGACTGTTGAAGTTGAAGGGGTCTATAGCAGCCGAGGTGCCAAACAGGTCGTCAAACTTGGTCTCCAGAGCAGCCTGTGTGTTTAAAACAAGCAGCTTTTAAAAGATAAAACTCATAAAACCTCTCAAAATATCAAAATTTTATAAAACTCACATTGGCACTTTAACCTGGGTTTTTTATTTTGAGTTTCTTTTTCTTTCCTAAATACAGTTATTATGAAACAAACTCTTTACCTATTGGAGTTTATACATAAAATCAATTTCTATAGTTTTATGTCTTCCAATTTAATTCTCCATCAAACGTTACCATTTTTTTGTTACGTTAAACATTACCAGTTTTGCAACTGGATTGTGCTTCTAAAATGCCACCATTACCTCATTATTTACCATGTTTAAACAAATATTTTTGTCGACAGCCAGCTCTGTGAGACTCAATATAATTATCACCATGACACGCCAGCATGAACACAAACCAGATGTTTAGAGTAGTCTCACCAAGAATCTGAAAAACATGTGGTTTCACAGAGGAGTGTATCCATGCCTGCACTGCTGGCAGGTTATTTCTCTGCTTTAGCTCCCTCAGTTTACCACGTTGCATCTGTTCCCTCCCGACGACCCCGACGCAAACAGCGTACTTTTTAAATATTTGATTGCTGATTACATCAGCACCACATGTGTCACGTCTACAAATCAGACAGATGCATTTAAGAAGATACCATTCAGGGATACGTGTCTTGTTTACTTACCGGCAACACGGGGACGTCTGTGTCCACCAGGTCGTCTGTCTCCACCACGTGCTCCGACTCAGGGGACGACGACTCGGCAGGGATCACGACCACGGGGCTGATGTGTTCCGACAGAGCTGAAGCACGCAGGAAGTTTGGAGGGTTCTGCAATAAAAAAAGCACAGTTTTATTCACTATGTTGTTTTTTGTTAGCTTCTAAAAGGCTTTTGCAGAATGCATGATGCAGGTAGATGTATCCCAAAATGTGTTTACCCCCTGAATATCTAAAAATATTCGATATTTTTCCCACTGAGTTCTACATAAGACCGGTACCTGGTGCCTACATTCAACACAGATTCCTTCAAATTAATTCACCTGAATCTCCATGAAAGTGAGTTAGTTGTTTGACTTGTGTCAGAGTTTTAGTGTCATAACTAGGGCTGGGCAATATAGACAGAAATTCATAACTTGGTATTTACAGGCTGACTGTATCTTCTACAAAATGAGCTACATGTTTTCAGTTGCGAGTCAAAGTTACATTTGAAATGTCACAATAAGTTTTATATAACAGACAGTGATCAAAATAAAATGCAAAGACAGATTTTATTCCTGTTTGAAGATATACAGCTGCACAACATGTGGATGAAAAATAATATGAAATGAATAGCAGGGCTGTAGGTTAACGTTTTTGCACACAGCACTGGAGCTACAGAGGTTTAAAGGTTTGCAGCACAGGACACAAAACTATAACATGAGTATAAAAGTATCAAGTAGGTTTTTCATGACCTTTCAAATGAATCTAGTACTGGAAGATGATTTCAATCTTTTTATTTATCTAGGCTATTAATCTCATTTATGCATAGAGCATTTTGTCCACGTTATATATGTCTCATATGTGAAATGTCTGTGTTGTCGCTGCATTTTTTAAACACATCTGTTGCCTGCATCCAGGCGCTGTCTCCATGTCACACAATAGACTACAACTACCAAGAAGAACAGCAACGCGCTATGATCCACCTCACACACAAACTAGCAGCGCAGCCTGGATTGCACGTGCGCTGCAGTAATTTCATTCATCTCACAGACTGATTTAGTGTAGCGTGTGCAACATATAGACCGATGTCACACTGTAGACTCATTATCAGACAGATTAAACAGAGGAGCAGCTCTGTGTCTCTGAGTGTTGCTAGAGAAACTGTGAGTAAATGAGTGGGGCGGAGCTGTGGTGAGAGTGTGAGAGAGGAGAGACGCACACTGGTATATGTTATGTAACCTATATCAATATAAACGGTGTTGTCTAAATCTATATCTTGCTTGAAATATATTGATAGAGTAAAGGAGTGCAGCTAAGATAATGTGCAGGGCATGTCTTTGTCATTTCCTGTCAGTAATGGGCATGAAGCAAATTTAGGACAGAGTGAAACCTGAAAGTACACGTTGTGAGAGCAACCTACATGCTTCTCATTTCCATTTATATCATATGTAGCAGCGCATATATGCTGTAGCATAAATAAGATATCATCATGAATATGCTGTAACAACTTGTGTATAAAGATAAATCAAAAGGCACATCTTTTTAATGGGGAGTTAATTAACTACTGGTGAACAGAGACTTGAAATACCCAGGTGAACTTGAGGCCTAGGTGTGGCTCAAATGTGCAAAAATGTCCGACTCAGTGAGAGGCGGTCCTCACCTCAGGCAACTGTGGGATCTGAATCAGCCTCTTAAAATACTGCAAGTTACTGGAGCGATAGAACAGACTCTTTAACCTGAAAGAGAGGGAGAGAGAGATGAGGACAGACGGAGGAGCAGACAGGAAATCAGAGAGAGAGAGAGTCACTGTCAATTCATTCAACACGGCACTTAGAGCTCAGTGGTCGGGGTCACACTCAGTCAGGGAGCAGAGTGAAAGCGTGACCGGCTGGGTTTGTGCGAGGGCAAGTGCAGTTCATACTTCTTAAACTGTTCCTGGAAGCGATCTCTGTGGCCCTGGAGAGTGTCTGCTGGAAGGCCTGCAAGCACACACAAACACAAACACGTCAGCGCCCAGGCACCATAAACTCTTCAGGTATTCTGCATAAACACACGCACACACACATAAATATATAAAGACTGAGTGCACACATGGATGATGGGATTTCGTGCATGAATGTATCAAAGCCGAGAGGTGAAAGACTTCAAATCTCCAAAACATCTTCTTCTCAGAAACAGAGAAAAGGCTTGTTGAAAGAGAATTTGAAGCATTTTTAAGTTTTTCCAGCGCAGCTTTGGAAGGTTTCAGGAGCCAAAGGGTCAGAAAAATTCTTTAAATCAGAGGACGGTGTGTCATCTTTGTACCTTTGAAGGAAAGTGTCACGCATGTTTAGTATTCAGACTCTTTATTTCCGTATTGCAGGACGTTAAAGAGCTAAAGGTGATGGTGGAAACTCAACGGCTGAATCCAGTACTGCTTAAATATGACACCAGATTCAACTAAAATAAAATGTAACAACAGTGAAATAAGGCTTATGCAAATTTTATATTTTCCTTGGTATATTTTTAGCATCCTGGCTTGCCAAGGATGACATGACTAATTTGGTGATCAATTAGATTACTGATTTCTGTGATTTATGAGGACAAAATGGCAAATCTTTGCTGCTTCTTGTTTTCATCATAAATGATAGTAAAGTATTTTTTGGTCGGATAAAACGAGCAATTAAAGGACACCACAGGGGGTTTTGGGAAGCAGTGATTGGTGTTTCTCTCTTCTTTTTCTTTTACCTTCACAGACAAAGTGATTTAAGTACATGGACAGATTGATTTATAATTGAATTAATTGCTATTTGCAGCTCTACTGCTGACAGTGCTAAATTTCTTAAACATTTGCCTGCAGATTTCTAACAGCAGGACTTGAAGCTCTGCAGTGTGACATTCTGCTTTTTACTATCAGGTGACATTTTTGTGAATGACACTAGTGAAGAAAAAAAGTGAAACAGGTTGACTTATTTATATATATGGGGACACTGATTGAGATTATTAAAGCTCATTTCATTCATCATCAGTTTAATTTTAGTGTGACAACTCAACTGATGACCACTAATTTCAAGCCTTGAAATAAAGTTCATAACAACGTCTAACTGCCCTATGCTCTCTGTGAATTATCATAATATGTAGGGCTGCCCCCTGATAGTCAACCAGACATTAGCCAGACCAGAAAGGTCATTAGTCAGCAAGATTTCATTGGTTGCTTAGTTGCAGAAAAACAAAAAATTTGAAACTCTATTAGGAGCTGCACCATGTCAAAACAAATCAAAACCTACATGACTGAACCATGTGGGAATTTAATTTGAAAGGACAGACACAGGAAGTGGCCACGCTCAGCGGTCAGACAGGAGTCAGGTTAATTTCCAGGGCTGGTACCTGCGGTTATTCCACAGGCAAGTTAATAACATGTCGGGCAGGAAATCCAAAGTGTGGGATCATTTTGAGAAGGTGAAGGATGAACCCAAGGTGATATGTAAACTCATCTTCATTGGTCGACTACAAACATGACGTATCATCTGAAACATGGAAGTAGCTACATGCCCATTAGCCACTTAGCACAATCATTACTGCTTTGCCCACAGCGTCATTAACAGGCGGCTCGCTCAGTGTGTGACGTGCACTTGTAGATAAAATATAGGCCTATATTAATGAAGGTTCATTAGTACGGTTTTGTATTTCTCTGTAATGTAGCACAGTGTTAACAATGTTACTGATACTATTCTTTCTCACACCTTCAACTCAAACCATTGTGTTGCCCCACCCAAAATATATAATTTAATAATTACATTAATATCATGAACATGTGGGCGACTAGTCGACTAATGGCCCTAAATGGCGACTATCGGTCGACTAGGAAAATTCTTAGTCGGGGGGCAGCCCTAAAAGTTTTCCAATGACCACAGACATATTCATTATCTTGAACCTTTCCTGTGTCCTGTTTCTACTAAGCCTGTAGTTGTGCACTTTGACCAACAGAGGTGTGCGTCACTCACAGGAGTGTAGCTTAAACAGCAGCTTGACGGTGTAGTCATACAGGTGGCTGCTGTCCAGGATGACTTGGATAAGGGGGGCCAGGCGACACTGGCCCGCCGCCGTCACCGACACCGAACGTGACATGTCTAGAGAGCTAAACACTGGGGAGAGGAGAGAGAGAAAAAAACATACCGATCAATAAATGAATTCACAGGATCAATTTGCAGCCACACAGAGTATCATTACAAACACACCACACATGCACATGTCAGTGAATGTTAATGTAAACACAGAGACAGTCGTGCGTGGGGCTCGTAAATCATGAATTTTTCATGAACCAATCAAGTGATGGTGCTGTGCTCTAGGCCACTAAAATTAACTAAATAAAACGCTTCAAAGCAACACACAGCTCGCCCTTGCTTATTGAAAAAAAAAAAAGGGCAGGAAAGAGGTTTAAATTGAAGCAGCAACCTGAACACTAACATGATTGTCTGACTCCCTCTCTGCCTCCATCATTACTCCCCTCTTTCATTTCCCTGCCACCCTGCTCACACCACCCCCAAAGCCTGGAGAGCCTCTGTGCACTGCAGAGGTGTGGTTTCCTGCACAGCTAGAAAACACACACACACACACACACACACACACACACACGAACACCTCAGGCCTGGTCTCTTTACCTCTTTTGACGTGATGTTTTTAAAATACACCAGCCCAGAGAAGGAAGCTGACGAGGGTTCTGAGACTTGGGTGTGAGGTGACACAGTCTCTACTGTGTGTTGGCGTATGTTTCGTGCATCACAGCGTCAAACTCTCGAGTCATGAGAGGAAAAGTTTGTGCTGAATGCTATTTCTCCAGAGAGAGAGGAGGAAGTGGAGACGATAATATCATCATTAAGGTACGCAGGATGAAGGGCATCATACGTAGAAACCAGAATGCTATTTCCGGCCAGTCGTTTATGAATGGGGTCGGCAGCTTTTCCAGCATCTCCTCTGAGCTGCTGGTCACATCCCAGACGTCTATTTTTAGCCCTGTCTATACTTTAACAGACAACAGTAGGGCTGCAGTCCAGTACGTAACCACTAATAGCCGTCACAGCGTCTATTTCTGTGCACCATTACGTACAGTACAGCTATCAGTCAGACTGCGTCTTCCTGTGTCATCGCTGTGTGTGTGTGTTTGTGTGTATTACTTCATGCTCTGGCTCAGATAAGCACAGCTGGTAGTGCAGAGGCAGACCAGAATAACTTACCACCCAGGAAGAGGTTGAGCTCGCACTCCAGGTAGTCAAACATCTCTACTGTCAACTGGAAGCTGAAACAGAAGGAGAGATGACCGTTTAAACATGACTTCAGAAACACACAAACACAACATAGTGTCATGGGAGTAAATCTGGATCAAGGAGTGTAAAAGAGAGCTTTCACATTCTTGTATCTCACACACAAACGCCACTGATGCTTCAGATAAAATGATCCTGCTCGGTAAAGAGCACCAGAAAATTCTTCAGTTCTTGCAGGTGAACGTTTTCCTGTTTTTCTCAAATTCCTTTCAAATACTGGATTATTTCCTTCCTGCATGCTGATCGGCTGAGTCACGGTCAGAGCTGGAGTAAAATTCCAAAATGATTCACAACTGTAACTGTATCGCACAGTGGGTCCAAACCTGGATATAAATCTACTAAAATTATTCATTTTTCCGACTTTCCTGTGATTTTTCTTTTCCTTTGTCAAACATTAGATACTTTCACCTCAACAGGCCTCTGAAATCTAAACAATTTAACAATCTGAGAAGCTCTCATCTCATCAACCATGACCTCTGATGTGCGGACGCTGGTGGCATCAGCTTGTTTTAAAGGGTGACAAGCCAAAAAAAGGTAATCTGTATTTAAATTACTTGATACCATCATAACCAGCTGCGCTTTCCTGCTCTGTCTCCTCTTTGACAGCGATGTGACACACACGCACCGCTGCAGTGCTCATGTAGCCCCACCTCCATCTCAATCACTCACAATGCTGTCTTCTCATCACTCGTCATACTTGTCCAGTGAATATGATCATTTGCAGGCTTTGTTACAGCCTGTAAAAATAGTTATACCCTCCGATTTCTTCTAATTTGTTATTTAAAAATAAATAATATTAGATAAGAAAAAAAAGGAACTAAGATTGCTTGGTGGTGTTTTGCTTTTACTTTCTCTTCATTGCCTTTAAATGTGCAACAATATTAGGAGATTTTGAACATGTGCACTACTTCGACAACATTTAATTTGAATTAATTGATTCATTTTCATTACAGCTGTTCTCTGCTATAGACAAGAGAAGAGAAGTAGTTGTCCTCATGTTATAGCCTTACTATGATTGTCTTTTAATACAAACTTAAAATTAATGCCCTCAATGTCATGTCAGTTTTTCTCACTGGTATATCGAAAATTATACTGAATATTGATATTTGTCAAGGTGTTGTATCAAAGTTTTGATTTCCAGTATCGGGACAACACTATTACTCACCGTGTGTTACCCTGAAGTCGTAAAGAAAACTTTTTCTCACATTGCCTTTACGATGAACAAAAAATCCAAAAACTCAGTACTTCCCAAACCCATATTTTTGCTAAAACCGATTTGTTTAAAACACTTTTGCAGACGAGTATCACGCCTGGACACTCGTTACATTTCATTTCTGCTTGTTGATTCCACTGCAGCTGCTGAGGCACGAAATCATCAGTAAGTGTTCACTAAGCTTTGTTTCAGTTTAATTTTATTTATAAAGCCCAATATCACAACTCACAATTTGCCTCAGAGGGCTTTACAGCATACAACATCCCTCTGTTCTTGGACACTCACAGCGGATAAGGAAAAACCCCTGTTATGGGGGCATTTTGGGTAAATTAAATTAAATGGTACGGTGTTAGTTAGTTGTTGTACATGAAAAGTATCCTGAGATAACTTTGGTTATGATTTGGTGCTGTATAATAAAATTGGTTTCGCTTACATAAGTGTCAGGTTTTAACAAAAACACATGTGTTTAGGAAGCACTGAGTATATGACTGGATAAATGAGACTTGGATTATACTGAACAAGTTGGCTGCACAAGTGCGACCCTTCCTCATGACTTGATCAAGAATATTTTCCCTTTTTGGATTCCTCGTTCACAGCGGAGGCAAGAAGAACAGTCTTCTTCACAAATTCAAGGTAACACACAGGGTGAGTAAGTGATACACAAGTGATCATGCTGTGGGCGAAGTATTCCTTCAAAGAAGGAGTGGTAGTGGTGCCAAAACTAAACAGCTTGGAGGGAGACTGAAAAATGCAGTACCACTGATGAAAACAATGAAATGAAACCTTTAATCTCTTTCGTCTTCTCCTTTTATGATGGTGTGAAGGAGAAGCTTTGATGAAAGAACTGAATATAATTATTACTATCAAATGAATTAAAATTAAAAACTTTGTTTACCATGTGAATTTTTAAACTTTCTACTAATTTGTGCAGAACAACACCTCTAAAATGATTACAATGAATAAGGTCTTGTGGCTCTGTTGCATTATGATTAATGTATTCATCCAATTACATTTCATTTCACACTTTGGTCAGCACAGTTTGAGACATAACACTGAAACTCATTAATATCTGGATCCTGCGGTCTGGCCGGCTATAACCACAAAAAAACAAAAGGAGAGGCGATGCAGCAGCAGCAGCAGCAGCAGCAGCAGCAGCATGCCACACTCACAAGTTGTTAACATCGTTCTCTCCCGCCTCGTCAAGCTGTCTGTTTGACATCTGCAGGTTGCCAGGGAAACGAGGGTTCTGAAAGAGAAGACAACACGAGGAGGTTCAGTCGTCCTGACATCCATCTGAGATGAACACATGACTGTTTACAGGCAGAATCTGATGTCTATAATCATAACCATGCAGGAATGTAACAGTACATTCAGTCTGTCTGCTGTTGAGTGCTGAGCAGGAAGTGCTTGCACGTTGGGTTTTAGATGAGAGCAACGAGAATGAACCCAAACATCAGACTGTAACAATGGCTTTGAGCCCTAAAGATCTATAGCACATGGTCTAAAGTGCATGGCACAAGTGTATTTATGGCGTGACCAACCGCCTTTGATATAGCGCATAATGTGGGCACAAAGTAAGGCACAAGGGGCAAAGGGGTTTAATTAATCTCTTAGTTAATCATAGGTGTGTTGTGGGTGCAACATGAGTTCAGCTCATCAGTGTCATCTCCAATTCCCTTTAAAAGCCAGGTGCCTCAACACCTGGCAGACTGCTGTTTACATGGCAGATTCTGCAAACTGGAGAAGCGAGTGGTTTCCTGCTGAGCGTAATGCAGAAAGAGCAGTAATGTCACTGCAGCAAATATGGTGAGACGTTTAAGCAGAACTAAAAACTGTAATTATAAACCTGACAGAGGAAACAGAGAGTGAAATAAACAACAAATATCTGATTAATGTGATTACTGTATACTTCTTCCACAGAACAAACAGAGGCCGTCCTTTAAAGAGCAGAAAAATACTCCGCCATTGTTTGTGAACCAGGTTTATGTTGGTCAATGGGTGGCGTTTTCTTTGTAAATAATATTTAGTGTTGTAAATAATAGTGCTTGTGGTTTTTTGAGAGCTTCTAAGTTTTTTGATGGCGTGTTTTTGAGTGTTTTTTGCCATGTTTTCGTCATGTTTTCACCATAGTTAGTAGTTTTGCCACTGTTTGTCTTTTTTGCAATAGTTCGTGTTTTTATAGTTCACAGATAGTTATAGTCAATTATAGTTTTGTAAATACTGGAGGAGAAATGTCGAGGAGGTCGACGAGGGACAGGAGAGTCCTGTTGAGATTTGTGGATGAGGAGGATGGACCGGAGGAGACTGGTGTAGTCATCTCAACCACAGTAAGTAATATCTATCTATCATCAGCTGTTTTTTGGGGCCAATTCAGCATGTTGAATCGGCAACCATGACAGCTGAGCCCATCAGTGATTGAAATCACTCTGGTTGGCAGCTCAGTTCAGTGCACAAGAAGAGAAATTGAAGTGAGGAAAGTAAACAAAGTACTAAAGTCGACAGTGAGCGAGATTAAAACAAACTTGTTACATAAGGTAAAATTGTTTTTCTTTATCCCTTGTGTTCTCTAGCAGAAATGTTTTATGGTGGTTTGTGTTATTGCTCACTGCCTCACTGTAAATACTCTTTGTTCTTTCAACACTGGACTGTCTTGATAATGTGCTAACTGGCTAACTAGCCTCAAGACGGTCTTCCAGTTTCCCTTTCTGAATGACGATTACAGACTACCGCTGTCTGCTGGTGTGGAGAGTTATTTCATCTCACGCTTCTCAGAACATATGTACTGGTTGGCTGCTGGCTGTAGCCTTTGTGGTGTTCATGTGCCACTTGATGGCCGAGACAAAGTGACATCAGGTGATGCAGCAGGGGGCCTTCGTCGTCGCTAGTTCTCTGAAGTTGATTTGGTGTGTCTGGGCCCTAAGAACTTCATGCTAATGGGTGCACGGATTGGCACATATGTGTTTGCTACTTACACAACATGGGCGCTGAAAATGACAGTTGTGTTACACAGTGTGCTGCTTTGCGCCAGGTATAAGATAGGGTTGACAAACGCAAGTCTGTTAGATTGCCTCTGCTCAAAGAAAACATTTCTGAAATTATTTCACCTGAAGATGGAATACCTTGGGTTTTTTTCCCGTAGCTGTCTGAACCACTTTATATTTAGCAGGACTTCCTGGTTCCTTAGTTTATTTTACTTTATTTCGATCATTTTACAACTTATATAACCCAACTACACACAAGAAAAACTAATAAATGAATAAATAAATAATAGACAACAATCATAAGCTATTCATTTTGAAGCAGTGACAAACCAAAGCAAGTTTGCTGACTGAAAAGCTGCAGGCCTACCCTTTCTGCGTTAACTATTTCTGTTCTTTTGGGGGTTTTTTTACAGTAAAATTGTGGGCCAGAAAATCAGAACAATTAGCTTAAGAAGTCGCCATAAAGCTCTGTAAAGCTGAGGGGAGCTGCAGAGTTCCTCGACAAACAAGTAATCATGAGATTCATCATTAAAATAAATGTACATTTATATTGATTAGAGCAGCTGTAAGTAAAGGACCTGAACACTTCCACCTACGCCACTGCTGGCTTTTTTTTTTAAGTTTTTGAATCCCTCAGGTAAATGTATGGTTTGGACTTTGAACTGTGCCCGTCAGTGCACTCTTTGATTCTGTCTCACTAGTGGAAGCCAATCAAAACAAAACCCTGGCTCCGAATCAAACAGAATGTTACGTTACATTTCCATAAAAAAAGACAAAAGACAAAGATTAAAAGACACAGCTGCTGTCGTTCAGTTTAGAAAATAATGCTAAGATAAGTTACGGCACTGCATTTCTATTGAAATATACATGTGTGCAGGCAAATGCTGTTTTTAGTTCTGCATCTCTTAGCTCAGTTAAAAATTAATATGAGACTGAGTTTACATGAGCTGACTGTTGATTAATTGACCTTTATCTAGCTCGGCTGGTTTTTTACACATTTATTCAACCTACATGGTGATTTATGAGTAAAATATTAAGCAAATACAGGTCACAGAGAGGTGACACAAAAGTCAATCATTGGTTTTATCTGGCAAAGTGTCACGTTAGCCCATTGATTCTCATGTTACGTCCTGGCACACTGCCGTCTACGACGGTCCTCACCCTTGGGTAGGAATTAGCCTTCAGCAGGGCAACAGCTAACCACATCTTCCTGTGATAGCATCGACACCGTGCTGCTCTGCTGTCTCATAAAAAAGCTACATTACAGATTCGAGAGAGGCCATTAGTGTAAAAGCCAGAATTTTCTATGAAGCCAGCCCCCCCCCCCCCCCCCCCCCCCCCGCAGAGACACGCTGGCACTAAAAAGAGAGCCTGAGACAAAGATAATGAGTGACGAGGGAGACTGGTGCTGGATTTTATAGGCCAGGCCGACTCACTTTGATGTGGAACTCCATTTTGGTGATGAGCAGTTTGAGGTAGATGCTGCACAGCTTCCCATAGCCTTCACTCAGGTGACCCTGGGGGAGACAGAGAGAGAGAGGGGGAGGAAGAGGGACATTAAGAGGAAGAGGAGAGACACGATCAAAGGTAGAGAGTAATCTTTTCTCCTCCTGGAGGACGTGCAGGTTTTTTGCCGGTTAAAGAAAACCGAGGAGGCAAATCATTTGGTGTTGTTGAGGAAATTTGTTGTGGCACTTTGGCTGAAGGCAGCACACAAAAAACATGAAAAGACTGAGCACAGAGCGGCCATTTTCAAGCTGCGGGGCTGAATTATACCACGGCAGAATCTTTCAGTTCACTTCACTCTGTGTGAAAACGTCTCAGATTGTGGACAAAGTTGAATAAGTGCAGCTATTTGGCCAATTTGATTCTCACTTCCTTTTTCCTTGTCCCTGAGAGTGCGGGTGGTGATGACACAACAGGAAAGAGAGGGCACCACCCTGGTCACAGGGACCAAACTTCCTGTATCCTCCTCGCCTAGTGACATCAGCAAAAACTGAGTAATAAAAACAACATCCAGGACTACAGAACAGAGCAGGCTCTCTACCCAAATGTTGCCCAAGACATAACTGAGGAGTGACTGTTCAGATTCTGTGGCTTAATGGAGTGCAGTCTGTACAAGTTTACACAATAAACCTGGTGAATTACATCAGAGGTGTCTGCATCGATACCCCGAAGAGACCTGCACTCACTTAGATCGATGCAAATGTTGTCATCAATGAGACTTTTCATCCAAACATAAACCACGTTCAATTTTTAGCTCCAGCTCCTCAAAAACAGGTGAGAGCAGGATTCCCCACAGAGACACCAGCAGACTGGCTGATGTAATACGACTGTCTGTGAGCCACAACATGGAGCTGGCAGGGAGTGTGTTGTGAGCTCTTGACAGTCACACTTGGCATGTTTTTACATGGCCTCGTCCATCACAGGCCACGATGTCTGTCACTACGACAGCAGCCGGCTGACTAGAAACAAATCTTGTAATCTGATGGCCGTAACAAGGAGGACAGTTGGTGTGTGCGCTCTAATGATGCCAACAAACAAAAGACAAGCTTCTTTAACCAGTTAAACCCTCAGCGTATTGGCTTGATTTCTTTCAATAACATGGGAAGCAGGCAATGAGCAACGGAAGAAGTGACCCAAAAAAATAAGCAAGAAATTAGTAAATAAATAAATAAATAAATAAAACAATTAGTAAAAAAAGAAAATTTAGAANAAAAAAAAAAAAAGGAAAAGAAATTAAAAACAAAAAGTTAGTAAAAAAAAACAGAAAAAATTAGTAAAAAAACAAAACAAAAATTAAAAGAAATAGTGAAAAAGAAAGTTAAAAACAAAAAAATTGTAAAAACAAAAAACAAGCAAATTAAAAACAAAAAATGCAATAAATAAATAAATAAATAAATAAATAAATAAAAGAACCCACCCCCCAAAAAATGAATAAATAAATAAATAAATAAAAACAAGAAAATTATTTTTAAAAAAAATAAGGAAAAAAGAAAGGAAAGTTAAGTACAAACAAACAACGAAATGACCTGGAAAAAAAAAAAAAATTTCTTTTTTTTTTTTTTTTACAATTTGTGGAACATTTCTTACCAAGTTGCTCAATGCATTTTACCCCATGTTTTTGAAAGAAACTGCCCTCATTAGCTCAGCGTTCAAATGTTCAAATACTTTCAAAAGGTGTCTGAAAGCAGCACATGAGAAGCTTTGTTGCTCCAGGTTTCAAAGGGTTAATCACAATTTTCCTTATTATTGAGGGTAAATCAACAAATGTTGCTGCTGCATGTTGCACTTTTGGACGCACTTCAACTATGATGTCAGAAAAGGTGTTTTCCCGCTGCTGTCAGAAACCCCGCCGGGACAGGTTTAATAAGATTTGTCGTTCATGACGACATTTTAACCGCTGCCAATTTAGGGACTCCCTAAAATCTTGGTATTTCATCTGGATGGGTGTGGTTTTGCAGGACGCAGCAATGCATGCTCCAGCGAGTTCGGTGACCATCTCAGCCTTCTCACCCTCCACTCTGAGTGCAAGTTTATACTTTATAAAATAACCTGGTGCACATTTGTAAGAAAGCAGAAGCAGAATGATTTTGATTTGATGAAAATGAGAAGCTGGACTGAGTGACCAAGTATGGGCCAGTTTTAATTCTAGAGCTTAGAAAACTAGACTGAATAATACACTAATACACAATATGAGATTTGTTTGATGCAGGTCAAGTATGGAAGGCATACTTGTTGTTGGACATCATATATGCTGTCTAAATGTCAACATGAGCTTGTTCATACATGATATTAACATGCATTTCTGTGATCTGAACAGATTTTGTTACTGCCTACATCATTTACACTTCACTTCACTACAAAGTCAAGCCATGCGGTTTGAATGATCAAATCAGTGGTCTTTTACACTTGTATTTAGTGCTGACACTCCTATATTTTAGCACTATTTAGATGAACATATATTCAAGTATGACTTTAAGATGGTCAAGACTTTAACAGCAGTCAGGTAAATGTCATTCAAAAATCTTCAGGGAAGACACTGATGCAGCTGTGCCAGCTGTACAAGGAGCATCTGCATATCGTAAATTGATGATTTGAAGAAAAACTAGAGCAATCGGAGACCTCCGCCAAGCAGCTCGGATTTACCGCCATTTTTATTTTATCCACTTCGCTTCAACTGATCACCACCAAAATTTTATCATCTGTTCCTTGTCCCATTATCAGCCTTTCCTGAAAATTTCATCAAAATCCATTCAGAACTCTTCGAGTTATTTTGCAGACAAACAGACAAATGCCGGCGAAAACATAACCTCCTTGGTGGAGGTTGAAATCCCCTCTGTTTGAGGTTAGGTGAGAGGTCTCCTGGAGGTTTAATCTTGAGGTTAAGCCAAAGATTAGGCTCATAACCAACTTTTTAAGTTACAGTTTTGCTATCTTATATACACAATGTGAGCTGATAAGAACGCACATCAGGCACATAACACTGTGTGAAGCAGGACATGAAGCATTGTCCTCGAAATACCAAGATTTTAGGGAGTCTCGCCAAATTGCAGGAGCTGTTTCAGTAATAAATGATGATATGCTGCAGGAAAATCATGAGATCTTCATCACTGGTGGCCTTAGCATTATTATTAATATGAATGGAATAACTATTTTATGAATAACTTATGCAACGCAAACTCAGTCACTTATTCATCCATGCCTTATCTGTTACTATTCAAAATACACCAGTGGATAAAAACAACTATGGCATAAGGTTGTCCTTGTGTTAAAACAATAATCTCCTTGTCCTTACCCACATCCTGCTCATATCAGTTAAATCAGCCTTGTTCCTCATGGAGTCCTTTATCACCTAAAGGGACAGCACAAAGAGGAAATATAGAGTTAATAAGGAGGACTCCTCAGGTATAATTAACTAAACGTAGATGAGGTGTGACATAAGATAAAGGATGAATCACTGGCAAAAATCATCTGTGAAAGATGGGCTTTCAACACAAGAAACAAACAGATAAGACAAGATAAGAAGGTTAAGGTGTGACAATATTGTCATCTATACGTACATTCGGATGGCCATCCCTCAGCAGCTTGTGGAAGACGTGGCAGAACTTCCAGCAGAGCACTGCGTTGCTGGAGAGAGGGAGCCGGTTGACCGCCGCCCAGAAAGTGTGGGCGCCTTTCTCATGATGGGTCCCCAAGATGCAGGGTGACAGGCTGGTCAAGGATCAATGAGTTATCATAGGGCGTGACATTTCTCTGTGCGACATTGGTCTGGCTCGTGATTAATGTTACATTCTGTCATCTTGTCTTTTTTACTGAACTCAAACGGCCAAAAATTGTTGTTTCTCTTGGTGCAAAAAGTCTTCTCACAACACTGAGAGCCCAGACAACATCTTTGGTAATCAAAAATGAGCTGATGACGTGCAAGAGTCTGTACTCGTAACTAAAACAAATATGATTAACAAGAGTGTTTGCACTGCTAAAAGCCAAACTGCATGCTTCTTTAATATTCACAATAAACACAAAGCATTTCCCAAATCTCTTTCTGAAAAGTTAAAAACCAAAAATAATGAGCCCTAGATATTTTGTATTTAGTTCCTCGTCTCCCCGGGACTCTGCCGACTCCAAACAGCGCTCCTCTCTGTCAGTGCAGCTTTGTGTTTTGTCTCACAGATGACTAAATTAGCTCTGCAGCACGACCACATGTAGATGACGAGGTTACACTAAGTTTGTTGTTTTGATCTTGCACTAACGTAACCCTGCAGCCGCGGAGGAACAGCTCCACACACAAACAGGGAAATCAGGATAAACACACTTCTTCTCCACACACACACATACACAGTCACACACACAGAGACAATATGAGGATATTCCTGGCATGCTTCTCTTTGACAGCGACCTCCTGTGTGTTGATGGCCTTATTGATGCTGACAGCCTGTGAAGAGGAGGGAAGGAAGGGCAGAGGAGAACAGAGGAGAGAAACGGAGAACACAAATCAGCTTTTTTCAGCTTGCAGGAAAAAAATACATTCGCAAAGTGTTTCATTTTAAAACTTGACACCCTTCCACCTTTCGGAAAGTTGCTTTTTCCTTCGCTAACCACCTGGGGAACTGGAAGCTGCAACGTTTTATAGTAAAGGGTGACTGACCCATTTTCTGCGGCGTTAGTATTCAAGGCGGCAGCAGAGAGGCCTGAGTGCTTTTGAGGGGTTCTGCAGAATCAAACATCTGTCTCATCAAGTGACGCCTATGCCATCACATCTCTCTCTACGTGTCCCACCTGCAGAACAGTCACTAACTTAAATCAGGGAGAAGTGACAGAGCACGATAAAGGGAAACTTAGCATTGGTATTTTTCAATCTTTATGTCTAAAGCCTCTTTTACAGACTGCCTGTTCAATGTGGAAAAGTCTTTCCGTTATTCTGCTGTCTGTTCTATATAAGAGGTACAATCGAGGAAAGGGAGACAGAGTTGTCTCGCCTTTAAGTCGGCAGCAGATGTATCAACATTGCCAAATCAACATCTGTGTAAAGGGACAACCATCAGGACAGGACCATGGATGAGACGGGTGTGACTTTTTTGAAGACATGTTATGCGTGCGACCAATCGCTGGGAGATTTAAAAAGTAGCAGGTAGCAGTTAGCAACTATCTCAAACATGAAAAACAACAGTCGAAAATGAGGTAAGGGAGCTTTCTACCCTCCAAACAGAGGTGGAAAAGTGCTACTGATACATATATGTCACCCTAGAGGCACAAACTCGTGTGGTCTGTGATCACACTGGGGCAGCATTATGCCCCTTTTCTTCCGTGGAAAATGAAGGGCAGCAGAATGAAGGGACTTTGTAGCGGCCCTATCCCATGATCTCTGTGTAAAAAGGGCTAACCATCAATCCATCCATTTACTTTCGCTTATCCGGGGCAGGGCTGCAGGGCAGCAGGCCAAGCAAAGCACCCCGGATGCCCCTCTCACCAGCAAAGCTATCTAGCTCCTCCTAGGTAACCCCAAGGTGTTCCCAGGCCAGATGAGATATGCAAAAAGGGTAGAAAGGCCTAGTGGAGAACACTTTTTGACATTGGTCCAGTATTGAAAGACACCACTGCAGTCGGCAACTGCGAAACACGCTGCAATGTAACTACTGGGGGCATTTGACATTGTCAATTTACGTCCACTAAAATGGAAAGGACCCTACACAGAAATGAGGTGTTGTTCTTAACCTTTCGCTTGATGCGGTTTAACAAAAGTCTCTCTCAAGAAGTCACGTTCTGAAATCTCACAGACCATGACACTGAAAACCTTTTAGATAACTCTTTCTGTCCTCCAACAAAGCAAACTCTCCCCAGCACTCCTCTCTCCAACTCTCATTAACCTTTCCACCACTGTTTTCCTGCAACAAGTCATCTCTCGTGAGATTTTAGAACAAGACTTCTCCTTGAGCGTGATTGGGTTGCACACCATCACGAACAGATTGGATCAAGCTAAAGGTGAAGCAAAACGTTTTATTTCTCTGAAGGGTAATTTCCATAATACTTCCAGTAATAATCTGAGCCTGTCAGTGGCAAAAACAAGCACCTTTAGTGGATGTACACTGACGTTGCCAAATGCTTCGAGTGGTTACATTGCAGCCTGTTTCGTAGCAGCCGGCTGCAGCTTCTTGCTCAATACTAGTCCAGTTTCAAAACATGCTGTCTCCATTAGTCAATGAGACACAAAAACATGAGGAAAAAGAATAAGGAAATGTATATGTAAGAGGGCAGGGGGTCAAAATAGTGTTTTTGGTTTCTCTTCTTATACTCCCACAAAGAGCACATCCTGTATCTGGCTGAATCGTACGCTTTGGGATCATAAAATAGGAGAGAAGAGAAACAATCATGTACAGTGTCTCTATAGAGAGCGTGTGGACACAAAGCAATCACTGAAACAAACCTTTTCCAAGCCAGAAGCCTGTTTTCACATTTGCGAGGAACGAGTTAGGACTGTAAGCAGGCAGACTAAATGAGACAGCACCAACAGTTACCCACATGTGGATGATCAGTGGAGTATCTGTCTGTGCTGTGAAATCTACAGAGGAATGTGGGCCAGGCTAAAAATGAACCCCCTCCAACTTCAGCTCAAATTAAAGTATCATCTCACTCCTCTTACAGAAACACTCAAGAGTTTTGAGTTATATATGCATCCTGTAGACACAGTGAAGGATCCATACAGATATATACACAGTTAGAAAGCAAGCATGACCATTACAAAGTTGTTATGGCAGTGTTTTGTATCAACAGTCTGAAATACAGAGCAGCAGTAGTTCTGATGGCAGTGTTGGCTGCTGCAGAGTCAGTGTTGACAGTGATTTCTCTCAGTAAGCTTTAGTGACAGCTGCTGGTGACAAATCACAGATGTTTTATTCATTTGATGGAAGACAGGAAAACTGGCATTACATATCATAAAAAATACAAGACTCAAAGAGCCATGCTAGCACAAGCAGCAACTTCTGGGGCTGAAAAATGAAGTCAACGTGGAAGTAAAAAATACTGCAGTTCATCAAATGGCCACTTGAGGCTGGCTCCAAAAATGAGCCAATCCTTATAGACCCCCACGTTGAACTTCCAGACTGCTGAAGTACTGAACTCAGGTTTCAAAACAGGAGTCCACAAACCAATGGGTAACGCCTTGGTAGCTACGTCTATTATTTTATACAGTCCAGGGTTTACCATTCATTCATTTATTTATGGCGGGCTGCCACAATTAAAACATCTGCCGCTACATTTTTATTTTCTGTTTCTGGAGCTGGACCATTCTTTAGGAGTGTTGGAATATATATACGCACACAATTTAGTATTTGCTCCACAGACAGAGCAGCACAACATCAGTTGCAGTGACAATGAAACTTTAACCTTCAGTACGCTGGGTCTAAAGTTTGCTTTGACTCACAAACAGCTGCTCCAATCATCCATCAATCTGATCTGATCAACTCTGATTGGATCAAATGATCAGTTATCCACCTTGCAACTGAAAAATTGTGGGGAAAAAAGAAACGTTTCGCATTTGCTGCATTCACGGTCCCGCAAAAAAACTCTGAATTTAGAAAGGTGACACAGACTGATACAAGGACACACAGACGAGATAAAAAAGCACGGAAAGCAGGTATAATATTTACCGTGGTTAACCATCTAGTTGCTTTTGTAGTACTAAAAACAAAGTATAGCTGAGGCTGATGGGAATATCAATAGTTTTACGAATATTTAGTTATAAATCAAAGAATTCAACACATTTAACTTCTGATCTGATGACAGCTCCAGAGGGAAAAGTTAAAAGGCTAATCCATCTATTTAGCATTGCAATCTTAGAATATCGTAATCTTTCTATTCCACACATTCTTCTTCCTTCTTAAAGCCTGGTGCCTACATATCCCACAGTGCAACTCGACTGCCAACAGTCTGTTTGGAGATTCAGGTGTGTTTTAATCCTAGCAGTGGCTAATGCAGCCTTCAGCAGAGAGGAGTGGGCTGCATTGGTCTGGTAAGTCGAGCTGCAACGATTAAGGTGAATCTATTAGTTGTCAACTATTAAATTAATCGTCAGCTAATCTAATAACCAAGTAATCATTTTTGGCTAAATTTTTTTTCAAGTAAAAAGTCAAAATTCTCTATTAACAGCCTTTTAAATATGAATATTTTGTGGTTTCTTCTCTCCTCTGTGACAGTAAGCTGAATATCTTTGGGTTGTGGACAAAATAAGACATTTGAAGATGTCATTTTGGGCTTAAGGAAACATTGATCCACATTTTTTTTACCATTTTGTGACATTTTATAGACAAAGCTAATCAATAAATCAACAATAAAAATGATCATTACTTGCAACCTTACTCTTAAGCTCACTTTATTCTACCCTCCAGACTTTTTTCTTTTCAAACTTGTAGTCTTCAGCCCCAGCTGACACTGACTCATATGACGTCACTTTCCTGCAGCTCTCTATGGAGCCTTAAAAGGTTTTAAAATATATTTGTACACATGTAGTAGTAATCCTCAAGGGGATTTATCTATCCAGTAGCTGTAAAGACATTCCACTAAAAACCACAACCATCAACCTCATGGAGGAAATGGAATGAAAGTCAGTGAACCACCAAAGTGAGTAGGATTCATTCTCTGGGGACCATGAATATTTGCAAAAAAATTCATGGCAGTCAATCCAATGGTTGTTGCTATTTCAGTCTGGACCCACCGACAGACAGACTGTGCTGCTAGCATAGTTAAAAATCCTTCTTTTCTTTATGTCCCATCGAGGTTATGTTAAGCAGCCAAACAGGAAAGCTGTATGACAAAATAAATGTGAAAAATGTTCCTGCTATAAGTTCCAGGCCCACATTGTTTGAGTTTAAGCTTTGAGTTTCAGATGCTTTTCAAAACAAGGTGTTCTGGAGCGGCATCTGGCCGACATGAGAGGAAAAACCAAACCAAGAAAATCATACATCTCAACCCCTCAACTCAAAACCTACTCCCAAGAAAATGCTGAATTTAAACCAAGTAAATCCAAGCATACATTTTTTCACTATGGTTTTGCGTTGTAATCATGAGCCCCGAGTGTGGTGTCTGGGGTCAGCAGAGGACTTGAGGCCTGTTTCATAATCTCACTTCCCACAGATGTCCTGAGTCTGCTCCTCCTCTTCCAGTATGCGAGCTGTCAGGACTGGAAGTTCACCGTGATGAATCATTGGAGGAGAAGGAGCGAGCCAGGAGGGGTGGGGAGAGAAGGAGGCAGAAATGAAGAAGAGAAGAAGAGGAACTTTGGAGCACTGGTAGCTATCAATGTCCCCAGGCTGAGACAAACACAACACATTCTGCTAAAATCATTAGCTGCATATCTGCACCAGAACATCTGCACTCTTCTGTGTCTTTAAATCTGCTACCAGCCAGGTGTCACCGACTTTTCTGACTCTAAAATGTCCA